TTGTTACGAGTAATAAGTGGTGACATTGGCCTCAATGGCTAAACAATAATCAAATTATTACAGCGATTCTAAGAACTAAAAAGAAGATCATTCTCTTTAGGTCGAGAAATAGAACCATCAATAAAACCTAATTTATTAAGAATTGATATAGTAAGAATAAAAGATTTGCTCAAAGTAGCATATTTCTATGTAGTTAGTTCATAAGTAACTACAAGAGATCCGTGATGATTTAAGTGATGAATGAAGTATAAAGAATGTAAGTCATCGAAAGCTAACACTTCTTCGACCATTAATGAAGAATAGAAAGATCAAGAGGAGCAAAAGAATAACAATGAAATCCTAAGAGTTCTTAGGCTCTAATACCATGCTAACAAAACAAGAGAGAAATTTGGATGAAAAATTATTTCTATTGAATGATACTAGTTATAAAAGAAAAATACAACTTTTTCTCTTTTATAACGAAATTGTTAAGTTATCAAGTAATTAAATAACTAACTAAGATACCTAACTAATCCAACTCACGTATAACTAATTCATAACTAACTAATGATTGTATGTGCCATGTAATATAACTCTATAATCACTACTTTGCATTCCGGTAGGGTGAGAAAAGAACAAAGATGGTAGCAATGATGACTTTAATGTTGCTATAAATGAGATTTGTTTGCGGGTAGTTGTTGATGGTTTGTGCAAGTGATTTCAAAAGATTTATTAACCCACTCATAATATTTTTTGTAACAAATATGCGAAACACATCTCAAATAAAACGGACCACTTTCCACCAAAAAATGCCATGTTCTACTCCTTTTTTTTTAATTTGTATTTTTTCTATTTACATTTATTCTAAAATATTTATTTGGTCAAAATTTTTTAATTTTTTAAACAAAATAATATTTTTTAAAATAATACTAAAAACATTATATGATGTTAAGATTAATAATTATTTTAAAATATGCAAAAAGTCAAACGGACTATTACTCTAAAAAAATCAATTGACAACCAAAAATGTTGTCAACCTATCTTTTTTCATATATTTCATGGATAAAGTGAAATGAAAAATTAAAGAACTAGAAGACAAAAATAGAGAAGAAAAGGGAAAGGAAAAGAAAGCAATGAGGTCCCCGTTTTTCTTACTCGTTTTTCCGAGTGAAAAAATATTAAAATACTACAAAAAAAGGATATATTTTCCTTTGTAATGTTGTTTTGCATATAATTTGAGTCATGTATGGTCACAGTAATCTATTAATTATGCATGAAAACTCCATATGCATGAGAAAATTAAGTTGTAGTATTTAATATAAAAAGTTTATTTGCTAGTCTAAATAATCTTATATTTAAAATTTAAATTCAATCAAAATTTACTTAATTATGTAGTTAAAATTTTTAACTTAAAACCTTTAGATTAACACGCTCGGTTGAAAGATTTTTAAAACTTTTTAAATATGACTATATAACCCTCATATATTATTGTAACCCTAGTTATATAAACCAATTGAAACAATGTAACGCCCGTCAATCGAGACACCTCATCCGAAGGGTCATGATCAAACGGGTTATTACTAAAACTTATATACTTTTTATTTTTCTTAAAATTAAATTTCTAATTTAATCTTATTTAAATATGTCAATTTAAAAATATAATTGCTAATATATAATCATAAGATTTTCTTATTAACATAGCGGAAGCATTATTCTAAAATTTCATATTTATAAAACATCTATCACCATAATTAACATTTCTAAATAATCTTATCTCAATATTCATACCCAAATTCTAAGTAAAAATTTCAAATATTCATAATTTTAACATCATTATACTTATTATTTTAAAAATAAATATTCACTTAAAGCATAATCGAATTGTTAGGAACACGTAAAGGCAAGCACATGAGTCACTCGGTCACCAAAAGCAACATCAACATCCTCAACATTTGGATCATTACCTACACTATAGAACGAACGTGAGATACGAATATCCCAATAAGTGTAACATGCATGGTTTTACATTAAAACTTTTTGTACATGAATGTCTTTAAAATTCTTTTTCTCATTTGGGCTTGCTATAAGATACTAACACCGGTTAGCGAGGTCTAGCCTCAATAAAAACATGTATAAAAACATTAACCTCATCATTTAACAATCAAACCTTAACCTTTAGACCTCAATGTTTATGCCTCATTAGGCAACCTCAACCTTTGAACCTCGTTATGTATTAAAAAAAAAACCTCATTTGTTTACTTAAAATATTTTCTTTCAATCAATATGTAAAACATATGCATGCGTATGAATGCACCTTGAGATCGTCACATCACAACAATCACATAAAAACATATAGCATTTACGTCTATGGTGTAGGTGAGTTACACTTACCCGATTCGCTTAAGATCATTGTTTATCGTAACCTTTCTCTAAAAATCGATACCTTGACTTAATTCAAACCTTGAACATACACATCATATAATATAAGAAATCAAATATTATTATTTTATCTCTAATCATTTAATTTTTATTAATTCATATTCTTTTCTTGTAATTTCTATTAAATTAAAAATCATAATTAAATCATCAACTCACTTTAATTTATTCAATTCTCCTCTAATTATATTTATATAATCTAATGTTATTAAATTTTAACTTAACCTATTCCATTCTTATTTAAATACATTTAATCATCAAATATTCTAATACTAAAATATAATTTTTACATAATCAATCCTAAATCATGAAATTTCAAACTCAATTCTACCTAAAATCATATGAAAAAAATAATTAAATTAAATATTTTTCTTACCTTGAATATTGAATCACCAAGAGTTGAATCTTCTTCCAAGTACCTTTGACTTCACTTCTTACTCAATTATATTCTCTCTCTCTCTCTCTCTCTCTCTCTCTCTTTTGAAATATATGCTTGTGAAATAGCTTTCCTAAATGAGGAGAATGACACCCTATATATAGGTATGAGAAGTTGAAACATTTGAGAATTTTAAGTGCATGAATTAAAAATAATAAAATATCACTAACTTTCTTCTTTTATGGCCACGAAGTGGCTTTCTTTCATAACCAATTTCTTTTCTTTCATGACCACTAACCTTCTTCTTTTATAGCCATTGACCTTTTTCTTTCATGGCCACTTTCTTTTCTTTCATGGCCATTCATATCTCCTCTTTAATTTTAATATATGTTTCAAAACTTTTGCTCTTCTTTCATATCCACTAACATTTCCTTTAAAAGCTAATAAAACTTATTATTATTTTATTAATTATTATTACTCGTTTTAATCCTTTAATTCCTAATAGCTTAGGCTAAGATTGTAGGATTAATTCCTATCTATAAAAATATTATATATAATACCCAAATATATATATTGTATATCCTAAAACTCTACACCTAATCATCACATCATCTAAACACATAAAAATATTAAATTACATACATAAATAAAGCACATATGCACATACACACACACACACACACCATATATTATCATGTAAATTTTTTGAGTATTATAAACGATCTCTTCCATCCCATCATCGTTAATGTAACAAGGAAAGTATATATCATAATACAATTTATAAGTTAGAAGACTAGATTTAATCTCAAACACCGTACTATAAAAAGAAGACCAACTTACCATAATATCACCATAAGAAATTCCCAATTGGGATAAAGTTACCACAAAACATCGGTTATATTTATAAAATTGTTTTCTTATTCCCTTCTCTTTTATACCAAGCATGCAAGCTTAACAAAAAATATATAAAAAAGTTATTTAATCAATTTTTTTTTATTAATAATCATTTTTATTGATTTATGATTTATTTATTTATACATACACATATTATTTATGTATACACACAAATACATCTATTTATATATTTTCTATTAATATTATTTTTTCTATATGTAATAGCAAATAATGATGATCATGATAAGTGATAGTAATATGATGAAAGGAATTACGATAACATAGTAACAATAAAGATAATTATGATATGTTTATTAAGGTTACAAAGATAATGACCGTAGTGATGGTAGAGTTAATAACAATAAAGTACACAACAATAAATTATTTCCAGGTATATATTAATGAGATAAATATACATAGAAGAAGAAAGAAAATTAAATCCAAATTCGTAAAAAGCATAAAATATTTTGATTCAATTTTTTCTTAATTCACTCTCTCATTTCTTTCGCATATTTGTGTTTATATAAAATAAGTATTATTAATTATTGATTGAGTATCATAGTTTTTTTTTTTTTTTTTTTATCGACAAGTATTCTCCTCGTAAAAGAAGTGCATAATGTAAAATGAGAGATTATTACGTATTATTAGTAGCGTTTCTTCACCTATATAAAAATATAAACCACAAATAATAATTATCGTAAATTTATAACAAATTCTATTTTCATGTGAGTGTGAGAATAAATTGAATAATGCATAGTATTTTCGATATGTAAATAACATCGGAAACTTTATTGTATTATCTAATCCTGCTCGGTACATGGGCAGGTAAAGATTTTCGTAGAAGTTGGGTGCAAAATCCCAGCAAATATCTAGAACATACACCCACTTGCCACGTATCTACCTGACTCATCCACTAGCAAGAGAAACAGCATATAGCTGTCATAGCTTTACAAAGATGGAAACTAAAACCAGGTACCACACTTCTGCTTACTGGCCAATGACACAATTACAACCACCTGTGAACCTATCGATCAATCAAACTTTGATCTTTGACTTCTTTCTTCTATGACCGCTCCCCATCTGATCAAATAAGATTCTGCCACGCATACCCTTTTGATGGAACCTAGCACATGCGATCATTTACTCTAAGCGATATATATGCCTCCTCCATCTTCTTGTTTTAGTCCCCTTTCGGCCTCTCCTGCTCTGCCACGATTTCCTGTTTGTTTTAGGGTCTCTCTCTACTCAAAGGCTATATCTCATATATTTTTTGTGTGATGTAATGAAATATCATCTGTTTGTGTTCCAGTACTTTATGTTTAGGTTTGAATTGTGTTTGTGTTTGATGTTTTAAGGTGTACTTAGCGGAGTTTAACATTTTCCTTTTGTTCCTGTTGTTACAGGGGGTTTAGTAGTACCTCCGGTGACTTTATTTTTGGATTTGGAGTCACCAGAGGTAACGGCTTTTAAGAAATTATCTTCCCTGTGAAAAGGTAAAGAGTTCTTCAATTTTAGTTACACACTCTTGAAACTAGTAATGAAGTATTTAGATTTTCGATACTTGTTGTTAAATTTAGCGAAAAACAAGTTTTATTTGCTGATATTACATAAATTCTGTTGAATCTAAGTTTGTGTGTTCGTTGATGTGAATTCTAACTTCTAATCCATATCATTTCTTTTGGTTAATGCGGTCCCATCAGAGTTTATGCATTGGTTAGCTTTTCCTTTTTGAATTGTTTTCGACAATTACATTTGACCTGCATTTGTTCGTCCTTCTCAATAGCTTTAGATTATTATTAATGGGAGCTTGTTAGGCTCTGGGTTCCGTAACTGGTGTAAGCTGTTGGACCTTCCTTGATTTGATTCCAGGTCACTTCATTTGACTTCATTCACGTTAGACAGCACCCCTTATAGCTTGAGATTCTGAATCGTTTTGATTTTGTTTCGTGCAAAAAGTTTGGAGGATGTGGTTTGATAAGTTGTACTAACAATCACATTGGTGCGTCAAGATTTTAGTGGCACCTGGTTATGTTTATCTAACGGATGGTGCTGAAAATGTTTGGATTCTTTTCATAACAGAAGAAAATACTAAAATAGGGAAAATTTTCTGAATCCGCTTTAGTTTGTCAATAGTTTATTGTGCTAAATTTTCGTTCTAGTTCTGTGAGATGAGGATTATGTGTTTTACAATAGAACCTAACCAAGTAAGAAATGTCTTAATTAGCATGATGTAAACATTATTCGTGCTGCTTTAGTTGGGCATGAAACAACCACTGTGTATGTGTTGTCCTCGTTCACACTATGCACAAAACCAAGGACGAAGGCACAAAAAAACTAAATTTTCATGTTTGTTTAGTTTTTTCCATGTGCTTCTTTGATCATGATTTTAGGTTATCATTGGTCATCCCTAGATGTCTCTGTGCATGTTTTGGACAGGGAAGTTTCAGATGCTCATGTGTGTATTTCGTTGGTCTCAGCCGTGTTTGTGGGTTCTTGATGGGGAGGATAATTCCCTCTGGATGTCTGCTCGTTTTCTTTCTATGTAATTTTGGGGAGGATATTTGCCTTTGGATGTCTGCTCATTTTCTTTTTATGTAATTGAAGTAAAGGCAATTCTGATGCAGGACAGTCGATTTATAAGGAAATGGAGCAGAACAGGATTGGACACCAAACTCCTCCAAAGGGTCCCAAGCTTTGTGCCAACAGTTGTGGGTTCTTTGGAACTGCAGCAACAATGAACTTATGTTCCAAGTGCCATAAAGAAATCATTTTAAAGCAAGAACAGGCCAAAATGGCTTCATCATCATATGCTCCATGTGTTATGAATGGTAGCTCCAGTGACACCATGAGCATTGTTGTCGTTGCTGATGAGGTTGATCCACAAGCTAGTTCAGGAGTGCCATTGATTAGCTCAGCACTGGCATCGTCTACTGCTGCTTCAAGTACAGATGGTCATAGGAGTGTGAGAGAGAGGCCCAATAGGTGTAACACTTGCAAGAAACGCATTGGTTTAACTGGATTCAGTTGTCGCTGTGGAAATCTTTTCTGCGCAATTCATCGCTACTCAGACAGACATATTTGCTCCTATGACTATCGAACTACTGGTCAAGATGCCATTGCCAAGGCAAATCCCACTGTCAAGGCTGAAAAACTTGATAAAATCTGAAAGTTCTCCATTGAAGGAAATACTCTCTTGCAGGGCTTTTATCGGGTTGTTATCTTATGTTCGATGTCCCGTGGCTAAAAAAATTGAAAAATTGCAGATGTTCAAACATCTTTCCAAAATTAACCTTTCATGTCCAAAACCTTGACGTCGAGGGTGCATCGCGTGTTTTAATGCTGCATTTTTACCTGGTTTAATCAAATAGCATTTAATTTCTTGTCTATTACTTTGTTTAATTATGTTGTCTCTCTAATTCGTTTTGTGCCTTGATCAATGTCTGATTCATTCTTAAGCAAATAAGGGAATTTTCTGAGGTATTCGATCTCATATATTCAAGCATTTTTTTATATGTAGGTTAACCTCACTCGTGGAAATAGTAAAGTAATGTGATTTTAGGATGCAAGTAAATCTGGCTTGTTTTCTTCTTATTTCCGATTGATTGAAATGCCAGAGACCAACTGTCTTCTTTTATGTCCCATTCCGGGCACTTAAATTGGGAGTCATCATTAAATGAAGTACAGCTTTTGCTTGCACTTGTTCAAGTTTCCTTTGAACCGATTAAATTGCCATCTCTGGATAGATTCTTTGTCAAGCTGAGTACATGAAATCTGGAAATAGGACACTTACTTTAAGAGGCCAGCAAGCAGATTGGGATAAAAAAATTTATCGATGCTCATTGGGTGAACTTCCTTCCTCATGCACTAGATTTTTTATTTCAGCGACGGAAGGATTATCTCTACTGTTAAAGAAATTTCGACGAACTTTAAGTAGTTTATATGGAACTTGGTTTTCGCTTGTAGAGTAAACCTCGAAAAAATCTCTGGAGCTTTAAAATGAAAATAAATAAATAAATAAATAATATATATATATATATATATATATATATATATATATATATATCTTAATTGTGTTGGGCCTCCTATGCATATCCATTAAAAAATTTTATTCAAATTGTGCGTTTTTCAATGGAAAGATGTTGTCTTAGAGGAAATCAACGTTTTGAAATTTTCTGGATATTTTGGAAGTCTCTGACAAAATATCGTTTTAAACTCGATCAGAATCTGGGTTTTAATACGGGAACTAATCTAAGGCTTATCTAGAGGAGGCATTGGCGATTGAATCGATGTTATCCTAACAGATGACTATTTGAAGGTCGCTGGGACGAATCCGATGGATGGCCCACATAGACCTCCTGCTGGTCCTACTCTTTATATGAAAGGATACCAACCTGGTGCCCCGGTCACGTGTGGCCAACCATACTGCCGCCCTTTCGATCCTTCAATGACAATACGCCACGTGTCCAATCGGTGCATGTAATATGTATCAGAACCGTTCAAAGCTCCTCTTATTTGACTTCCCAAAGCGAGTCACATCAACAGACCGGGTCAAGTGATGGACCCACCAATAACCGTCCAACCCCTTTTAGGCTTTGATAAGCCGCGTAAGATGCTTTTAATTGTCAAACAAAGCTTTCCAATGCTCTTCTATTTTGAAAATTTATTTCTTTTTTACACATTGAACTCGACGTCTCTTTCTCTCTCTTAAAGGAGTAAAAATAAACCTGATATCTATTGATCTACTTGACCAACTAAGGTCATCCCACACCATTTTTTATAAACAAGATCATTTGAATTTGTAGACTAGGAAATCCACCCTTGTGCATTTCAACTTTTATTATCAAATTATGGGTAATATTTGATAGACTATTTTTAATCATTTTAATAAAAATAAAAAATAGCATCGTATCCAGCAGAATTGATCCAAAAATTTGTACAATATCATAACATAAAAAAATTACATATTCATTTATTTTATTTTTTAACAGTAAATGACTTTTGAACTGGTTTTCATATATTAAATTGAGTTTGTTTTTAGTTAAATCTTAAGCAAACCATCCATGTATGGATCAATTAGCACGTTTCCAATATATATGAATTCTGAAAGGTAAAATATAGAACAAATCAATTTTTACCAATTGAACTAAGAGTTTGTTTGGTATCATTATATTTTTTTAGTCTTTTTGGTACACTAGAGAGAACTAAACAAACTTTATAAAATGTGACGCGATCCGATTGCATTGGATAAGAACGACAAGATGCTACTATCTTCGCTGTTTGGCAAAAATTGGACTAGATTGTACAATTAGTCTGTCATACATGGGTAACTAATAATACTCTATTCTCATGATAAATAATGAAGATTTATAGCATGTTTTGTCTTCTACTCTTGGTGTTTTTTTAATATGATCACTCCGATAGGTTTTTGCCAATCTTTCGATAACAAAATGACATGTAGATTGACATGTCATGCAAACTAGATACGTAACAAAAAAAAAAAAAAAAAAATTCAAAAACTCAAAAAAATTATAATTTTGTTAAATTATAAATCAAAATGTAATATTTGTTAAAACTCCATATTAAATGCCTAAATAAAAATTGAAAATCACAAACATGAATAGATGGCAAAAACTAAGATAATGCTAAGTGAGTAAGGTTTATGAAAAAAATTACAACAATACCAAATGAAATGAATAGTAAACATAAGTGTGGAATAGTGATTGAGTAATAAACATTCTTTGTCTCCTTAAGTTTTTCTTGTTAATATATCCATAGAGCGACGGTGCATCTACCAACTCCAAAAAGTCAAAACCAAGGAAACAAGTTAATATTTGATGAAAAAACTACAATCATCATTATTATTGTTAAAATACACTAATGATTAATCTATTACATTTTTTCTAGGCTTTGTTTAAATTATCTATATTGAGCCCCAGTCACATGCAAGAAGTAATGACCATATGGGATGAAGTAATTAATAATACACAGAAGACATAGAATTAAAAAAAAAAAATTTGAGTTTGGATAAAAAATATTCTTATCAAATTTTGATTTGATTTTTTTAGATCTCTTTTTAAAGTGGAATCATGAAATTTATAAAATATTTAAAATGGATTCATGAAATTTATAAAATACTCATTTAGTATTTTAAAATTTCTCAATAACTACCCTCACAATCTTTTAGTTTTTTTTTGGTATAAATGTTGAAGGAATTGCCATTTTATTGCTCATCTTAATAAAAATAAATAAATAAAAGTTAAGGAAGTTTAATTCCATAACAGTTGTAACAAGATAGGAAATTAAACTTTATTAAGTGGACTTAATATCCCCACTAGTATATTGCAAAAATAAAAAATAAAAAAAATATTGCAGCAATAATTAAGTAATAATAATCAACACACTCCATCTAAAATCATGTAATATCCTCATGTCGAAAGAATTCATCCGTGACATACAAATCAAGTCAGTCAATGCAATTTTGCAGACATTATACTGTTATTAGCCATAATCAGCCCATGCTAATTTCACGTTTTGCACATTTGCAGCCAGAGCACGCGTACAGAAAAGGTTACAGGCGTCAGCAACAGAAACGTACGCGTGTCCGGAACACGTGTATGCCACGTCGAGTTCGACAGGGACTTGGATGAAAGGAAAAAGGTCGGAACGGTCAGTCAGATTGGGCGGCTTAAAGCCCCCCTTGTCACCATTGACATCCAAGTGGGTGCGATATTATCGCCTGCAATTCCAATTTTACCCCATCAAGTTGTCTGCAACGAATAGGATCTGGTGGTTTTTTTTTTTTGTGCAAGAGGAAAGAATCTGGTGTTACCCAAGTGTATGTAACCACTAGCAAGAGTCCAAACCAAGTGCTTGATGACGGGGGAAGGATTAGACAAGGCCCCAAGGGAGTCTACAATTTGCTTATTAATGCAATTTCAAGCTTGGTTTGTAGTTTCCTTCTAAAAGTCATTATCCTCGGTCCTCATAGGCCACAGCTAGTTGAAATCCGATAGAAGGAAAAAGGTGAAAAATAAAAGCTTTGAGATATTATATATAGAGATAGATGATCAGGCATTTGATCTTAGGGGACAAGATCGCTTGAATGTTAAGCTATCTAGATTTTTAACTTTTTTGAAGCTGCTTCAAGTTTATCAACCAACTTGAATCGGTAGATGAAGTGATTGTGTTTCCCTATTACATCTTTCTTTGATATAGAAAAAGATGGAATGAAGAAAAAGCATTAACGAATGGACGTGTTGCCTAACCCAGGAACTCCAAACAAATTAAGGAAGCATAATTAAACTGCATGCATGAATTTCTGAGGGAAAATTATTAGTCATAAATGTAAGTTGTAATCACTGATAAAAAAAAAAGAAAAAAAAGTAAGTTGGAAATTCCAACTTGGAACCATACATATAGTCTGAAAAGCATCTGCAACGACCTAACAAAAACCCAACCATCATTTTTCACTCTGCCTCTTTTGTTATTTCAATGAGTAAATGGACATTATAGCATTTGATTTACATTTTTTTTTTTGGCACTGTTTCAAAACAAATTAATTAAAACCCGCGATACCACATAGAAATTCTACACGAGTCAACTATATCGGCAAGAATACTAAGTCTTACGAGATCAATAGAGAATAAAATGAAAATTTCACATCAACACTAGCGAGGATGCTGGTCCAATACTCCACCTCCAAATGTAAGGATTTATCATGGGACCTAGCCCACCAATTTCAGAAAGGAATTCCTTCACAAAAAAAAAAAAAAAAAAATCACAAATATATATAATTTTATTTGAGTATAGATTTCACAATATAATTGTTGTGGATCAAAGGTGATATCCTAAACATCTTTTTTTCATTGAAGAGCTTCACGTGAAAAATATTTGTCTTGCTATGTTTTGAAAGTTTTATTCTCGTTTAGAAAAAAGATACTGTGGTAAATTACATAGATGTGTATCCATTAACAAGAGATAAATAGCTTGACCCTTCCAATTAGACATCGTCTTTTTAACCAATTGGCGTGGGAGCGGCTTCCTTTTTGTTGAAAAAAAGACTCCATTTCACATATATATCTACAAACTTAATATTTTTACTAAAATTCTTTACTAAATGATTTCCAATTCAAACATATAAATGACTTTTATCCTGGTGTTATTAAATGTGATATTATTTATATTTCTGATTTGAAATTCTTTCCTTATAATAGATGTAATAGATTTCAGGATATTTAATAAAAAAAAAACTTAATAAAAAATTCCAGCATGCATGAAATTCTTCTTCTTTAAGTCTTCCTTTACAGATATTATTAATAAATTAAAATCATATGTTTAAAACATTGCCATCTCATCTAAACATCATTTCTTATTAGTAATCTTTATTTTGATTTAATGACATAATTTACGCGTAAACTATTGAGATTATAGTAATATATATTATCAATTTGGGCTACTTGGCAGTAATTTTTATTTATTGTCTTACGATTAAATTATGGATTATTAACTAAAATGCTTAAAACGATGTTGTTTTAAATATTTTAATTTTTTATAATTAAAGTTAATCTTGAAAAATAAAATATTTAATAATAGTTGGCTTCAAGAAAGTCTAGATGATTTTGTTGCTTATGGACATGTCTTTTGTTATTGGACAATTAATCATGTGTAATTTGATTTATCTAATGAAAAAAACTAAATTATTTAATTGAGAATTAAAATTAATTTTGAAAAAAAACATTGAATGATAGTCTTAAGGAAGTTTATATGATTTTGTTGTTTACACATTTTACTTTCGTTGTTAGATAATTAATTATGTGTAATGGATCCATTAGTAAAAAAAAAAACTAAATTATTAAAATTTATTATCTAAATTAATTTTAATTAAAAAATAAAAAAATATATTTTTTAAAACAATGTTGTTTTAAATATTTTAGTTAACAATCGCTACTTTAATTGTCAGATATAAAAAAGAAATTGCTTAAATATTATTAAGTCGAGGTTAGTCTAAATTAATAATATAAATTTTATTTTGCTACAATCTACAACTTCTAATAATTCAGGAGTAAATTATGCCATTAGACATCTTTATTTTATTTTGCAACAAACAAATCAAACCAATTTGAAACAACGAAATCGCTCATACTTCCCCTTGCCTGTCATTTGGAAACATGGATAAAAACCATTTCAATGTGCAACCTTTCTTTTGTTTAATTTGGTGAAATCTCTTCAATCTTTTTTCCCCTTCACATCATATTCATAGGCCTCGAATGTTAGAATTTGGGAGCATTTGGGGTTTAGAGAGTGAGAGAGGAAGTGGTATTCTATTCAAAATTCAAAATTTTAATTGTTAAAAATGCATGGAACTATTTTCATCCTCGGATCTTGGTTAATAATGTCATCCATCTAGAGTAAAACAAGAGGAAAATGGAGTTCTCTTTGGAGGTTTTTTCCAACCAGAGGAGATTTGCTCCGAATTCAATATAAACAGGGGGAAAAAAATCCAACTGTATAGAAAAGGATAGAGAAGCGTGTTTACCAAAAGGATAGAAAAGCATTTTACACAAATTCACACGGACATATTTATGTGAATAAAAATAAAATATCAAATTGTACGAATGATACGATGAATCTCATTACAATTAACAGAACACGTCTCGGGTACATGCACCAGTTCATCTATAATTTATCAATCATAAATTGGAGAAAACTTAGCGATTGGATCGACCATTTTAGGAAACACAACGGCAAGTATTGCAATTAATTACTACTAGTATTTTACAAAAAAAAAATCAGCACCAAACGACGATAGCCAGCCAGCGAGGAAAGGTTTTTCAAATCAATTAACCAGGGCATCGAAGTGGTTAAATAACAGGTCCCACTGTTTTCCATAAGATAAGCAACCCGCATTATGTAGTTTCTCGATAATGACGATTAACACGTCAGAACCCAATTTAGAATAAGTAAATCTCTTGTGTAATTCCACAAAAATCAAAAGGTCAATTCTGTCACAAAGTTTTAAAAAGTCCAAAAGAAATGTCTGATACGCGTCTCTATGAGGCCCATATTCTTTCTCGCCATTACCGACCTCTCAATCCCTTCAAATCCCCCACCTCTCTCTTCCCATCAGCACCAAATCCCAGCCTCTCTCTCTTCTATCTCGCTCAAAGCAAAAAAGGATACCATATCAACAACTCAAAGAGTTCATCTGAATTCTTGAAAAGAAACGAAAGACAAAATAAAAAATAAAAAAAATCAACAAAATCATCCAGAAATGGCTCAAAGGACGGAGAAAGAAGAGACCGAGTTCAAGGTACCAGAAACCTTGACTTCATGTATCAATAATTGTGGAGTTACAGGTAATCCTGCAACTAACAATATGTGTCAGAAATGTTTCAACGCTAGCACCAGCACATCTAATTCTTCCTCCTCTTCCACCGCCACCACCATGACATTTGCAGCAACAGCCAACGCTGTATCTACCAACGAGATCTTAAAATTCGCCGGCGAGAAATCATCGAGATCCAGCATATCTCGTTCGCCGGTGAAAGATCTGCAAAAGTCACCTGAAACCGCGTCTGATAAAGAAAGATCTGATGGTTCTGCTTTGGCGAAGAGAGAGGTGAACAGGTGCTCAGGTTGCCGGAGAAGGGTAGGCTTGACCGGATTCCGGTGTCGGTGTGGGGAGCTGTTTTGTTGGGAGCATCGGTACTCAGATCGACATGATTGTAGTTTCGATTACAAAACTGCAGGACGAGAAGCTATCGCGAGAGAGAATCCTGTTGTCAAAGCTGCTAAGATTGTTAGAGTTTGAAAGAAGAAAAGGACTTGTTCGTGTTTGCAAAACATTTCTGGTTGATCGAGTCTCTCGATCCAAACCATAGAAATCTCGATCGAGTGCGTGCTAGCAAGAGATATCGTGAATCACCGTGGATTTCAAGATTATCAAAGATGCTCGAAACCGAGATCAAGATCAAATTCTTCGTGTCGTTGGATCAATCTATAAATTTTCTTTCACTTTTTTTTTTATTTTTAGAAATGAAAGATTAATAATATTAATATTTATATTATGATGGTTATTATTGTGCTTTGTTTTGATGTTTTTGTTTTTGTTCTTGTTTGGACATGATTGTTTTTGGAAAGTTGATGATGGTAATGGCATGTGAATGTAAATTGGAAGGAAAGTATGTGGCGATCATGTCAATTTCAATTAGATGTGGAGCTGGAAATCTCAGTTGTAAGGTTTAGAAAGTACTGGGACCCAAATGTAATGACATGTGATGTTGTGTTCTTTTAATATATCGTGAGATGTTAATATGTTTGTGGGAGGGGGTGGCCGTCAAAATATCGCGATAATTTCACTTGTTTGAGCCTGATTGCCAGCAGCGTAGACCAGTTAAATAGGGACACGTATGGATGGTATAGAGTTTGTTGCTAAAAAGGAAAAAAAAAAAAGCTGTAAAGTGGAGTTTGGGAAACATTTGCGTAAGGCAATTGGTTGCGTTTGTACATAAAATAATAATGGAGGTGGGGAAATCTCGAGAAGAAATAATGATCGGATGGCTGTGATTGATTGGCATGTAAATGACTTCATAGTGGCGCGGGTACAGGGTGGATTGGAGTAGGAATTGGGGACCAAATTTGCTTTGGGGAGAGGGTGGTTGTCCTTTGGGGAGAGGGTGGTTGTCCTTTCAATGCCCTGTAAAGCTGTTAAAGATATGCACCAATAAAAATGTTACATTTGCTATTGGCTCGTGTGGAGATGAGTTGGTTTTTGAGTTTTTTGTTAGCACGTTCTATGATCGCAATAGTCGGGTGGAGTCTTCTCTCATCACCACCCATACCAATTTTATTTTATTTTTTACGAACTACCATCTGCGCTTAGTTTGGAGTACTAAATTGATATGAAAAATATATATTTTTTAAGTCTTTTGAAAATAAATTGAATTTTGATTAATGAATAAGTTGATTCAATAATATCTTATTATTAAATAAAAAAATTACTTTGGAACTCTTTGGATTTAACAATTCAGAGTGTATTTGATAATTCGATTTAATGTTTTTTCAATTAAAAATTAAATATCTAACTGATATTTTAATTTCAAAAGTATTGAAAAATATGTAAAAATAATTTATTTGATGTTTTTCAAAAAAAAAATAAAACTACTTTCAATCATATTATCTTATTATTAAACAAATACACACATATATTACTCTTTCGATGTTCATAAGTAATGAGTATTTTTATATTAAAATTTACATCAATATAAATTAAATCAACTATTTCATATATTGTGTTACTGACAGATCATGTTTAATTTTTAATTGATTTTATAAGATAGATTTTTTGAATCCATTAATTGTTAATATCTAATATCACACAAAGAAAAAAAATATCTTTTTCAAAAATAAAAATCAAACCTCTAAATCTAATGAATAATAAATAAATAAATATTCCACCTAAAAGCTAACTTCAGTCTGGTACAAAACAATCAATGGACCATAGTTCGTTGCCTTATACCATCTCAACTATATATATATATATATATATATATATATAGAGAGAGAGAGAGAGAGAAGATATTTCGGGATATCTTACATTCAAAAGTTCAGATTAATTTTTTGTTATCCTATCGAACTGATAAAACAAAAATAACTATTTAAAGAGTTTTTTTTATATATATAAGAATTGAAATCCAAAACCAATAACTTAAGCAACCAGTCTCTTTCAGTTGAGCTTTATAATGTTTATAGTTTTGTATATTACTCTGTTCGATCAAGTAAAAACCAGATCTTTTCAATAGGTTGGGGGTGGGTCTCTAGTTTCTTTTTACATGATTGGATCAAATTAATTTTATCCCTGTTGCTTTCTTTATTTTAACATAACCTAATTTAAACCATTAATAAATATAAAAACCAGGCTAATAATTTTCAATGTTTGCTGTAACTAGATATTGGATGCATATACAAACCTTACAATGGATAAAGCTACTCATACGATTGTAATGTTTCCGCATAAACGTTGGCATTTGCATAGAAAATGCAAAGAGTGACCGATTTTTGTTAAAAGCAATAAGGGAATTCGGAAATGATGTTTATTTTGGTTCCATAATGCCAAGCTAAAACTGGCTTGGCAAATGTCAACTCCAAAACCAACCACGTAGAGGTGACAGATATGCCTTATAGATATTCCACCTGTTCCACTTAGATTAGATTTTAATAAGATAATCTTGAGGGAACTAATGTGGGTGATAAAAATCAAGTCCCTTTCCTTTGGTCACGGGCTTTACCAATGTCCTTGTTTCAAGTAGAAGTTAAAGTATAGGAAAACTGTACCTCATTCCCTTATCCTTTTTATCAAACGAAGAGAGCAATGTCATCTCAATTCGTGGAATTAAACGTTGATACGTGGACCTAATTGAAAGGGGAATGATGTTAACTATTCGTATTAGCTGTTTAAAAACTGAAAGGGTCCTCAACTAATGCATAAATTAGAAGGGCTCTTGCATGACCGGTACTTCGGATTGCATAAAAAAAAAAATGGTATCAAATTGGGATAAAATATTTATTTTTTACTGTTTGTTAGGTGTTGTTGCAGTCATAGAGAACTCGTTCGATGTATGATTGGATGATGACAAGAACGGGATCATTTCTGTTTGTCAGTTTTTCTTTATAATTTCTTGCAGCCGACTAGTTATCTAAAAAATTTATTTGCTGAACTTTATAACATTGCAAAAGAAAAGGGTTGGGGATGGATGGTGTGGGTGGGTGGGCATTTCCTTTCTAATATCCCCTTAAAAAAAAAAAATTCGTCGTCTTCGCATTGTTTTAGGGTCTAAAGCCATGTTAGAAAGACGAATAATTGTTACGAGTCAAACAGGAAGAAATAGCACAAAACAAGGTGGATGACTCATCTTTCTTACGTCAGGCTAACTCAAGCACTCCAGCATTTTCTGCCTTCAAGCCAGTACAACGAAGACTTCTTTCACATGTTCTCCAATGAAAAACCAGAGGAAGGCCTACCATGGAGTTCTAGGCAACACGCACGGCAATGAGGCAGGACAGGGACCTTTGTTGCCTCTCCCATCACCGGCCCGTGTGGAAATATAACATGTAATTGTTGATTTGTTTTTGCAGCTAGTGACATATCTTTTCAATAATGTAATAGATTTTCCTTGTGTGTCCTGATAACGATAAATATGTTAAAAAAAAAAAAATTATTGATAATAGTTTTGGCTCATGTTGAGTATAGTTGCAATAGAGTGACTTTACAAATTAATCAGACTTATTTGTGCATTTCATTTCATGCGCCTAGCTAGGAGATTTATGATCGGCATGGATTTTGAGCCGTTTTGACAATAGTTTTAAATAACGATGATGGTTAAAATAATTAATTGTGATTATGATTGTGAATCGTGGTTTATCACGCGAGTAAAATAACAATTGTGATTATGTCGTGAATATATTAACAATTATTAATAATTTATTATAATCCTTATATTTTTAACGAGTTTTACTAATTAAACATATTAATAAATAATAACATATTTTAATTTTTATAAATTTATTCAAGTGTTGACTATATTTAATATAAGATATTTTATTTCACAAATTTTTTTCATCATTCTTATCATGATTTAAATTTATTTTTTTATTTTTCTAATTTCTAGAACAAAAAGAAAACAAATTAGACAATAACTTAAAATTAAAAAATACAACTAAATAATTGATTTTTGAGGCAAGAAGGATCAACTATTTTATTTTTCCAAACTAAAGGAACTAATTTGTAATTTACTCAATTAAAGCTTGTATTTGTTGCTAGCACTTAAGACAAAGACAGATAACCCGAAGTAAATTATACATTAGTCTCTCTCGGTTTTGATAAATGAATTAATTAGTCCTCAATGTTTTAAAAACTAATTATTTAATCTGTTGATCATGTTTAATACAATATATTTTATTCCAAAAAATGTTTTTTCATCAATCTTTTCATGATATAAATTTATTTTTTCAGTTTTTCAAACAAAAAGAAAATAAATTAGAAAATAACGTAAAATGAAAATAAATAAATAAATAATTGGTTTTTGAAATAAAAAAGGACTAACATTTATTTTGTCAAAATAAAAGAACTAATTTAATATTTATTCAATTAAATAAGCAACTCTAGCATTTGATTCTTATTATCTAATAAAATAAACTCTCAAACTCTAAATCTAAAATGATTAATTTTTGTTTTTTTTAAATATATAATGCCGTTATAGAACAATAAATAATAATATTATATAACAATAATGTCGTTATTTGTCGTTATACCTATGAAATGACATCGAAAAATCCATAATATCAAATAACGATAATAGAATATTCTTAAATTGTTATATAATAACCTTTACGTTATGCAATGACAGTTTTTTTAAACTATGATCGTGACTGCAATGAACATCCCTCGATGATCTATATAGAATGGGTGAGAGTTTACTCTCTCTTTGCTAGGAAGCCTAAGAGCTATCTAGCCACAGAATGAGAGGTAGCTTTTCCATTCCTAAATTTGTAGTCCAATTTATAATTAAAATTAAATATTTTTAAAGGCAATGCCAAATTTTAAGCATCGGGATGTCCTTTGGGAATAAAATATTGATGATGTGGAAAAATATTGACAGTGCTGAGTGAAATATTTCTCAACTGGGCTGAGCAAATTGCCGACGATGTCGCCAGCAACTGTTTGGCAAAGATGATTGCTTCAAATTTGGCAACTATTTCGCTCGTGTATGTTATATATATATTTGGCAACTATTCAATAGAAAAGTTGAAGCTTATTTATGGCCAGTTGAAAAGGTGGAAAAACATCATTAAATTAATTAAACATTGCAAGAGAAATGAAGAGAAAGAAAATCAAGAGGAAGTGGCCGCATCACAAAGTATGCAGCAATTTTCAGTTGCGGAAATACAGCTGTTACATGACCGAAAGTGTAAGGTAGTGGGGTAAGCCCACATGTTATCCTTTCACGGTTTCAATGAACAAGGGCATCATGAGATCATAAATAACCAACTTAAAATTAAAATTTCCTCTTAGATGCTTTTATGCACGGCTCCCTCTGTCTTTAGATGCAGAAGCCACTTGCTTGATTTGATCTTCCATACTCAGCAGAACAGTGCATTTAATAGAAAACCATGAGTTTGGCACAACTTGATTTTTCTGGTCAGATCTTTAACCCGATAAATTCCAAAATAACCTTTTCATAAATTATATGGACTAGAAAACCCACAATCTTTTATTGTGCAGACGAAGCCGGAATGAATTTTATCTTCCAATGCAAGTGTACCAAACAAATGCCGAAGGAAAATGGGAATCAATGCATATAATTTTCGGGCACAAACAAGGATTTAACAGGGACAAAAGAAAATCAAATCACTTGGTACTATGACACGACAATTCAACAGCTTTTCTGTTTGAACTAGATTAAAATAACATCAAGGATTTAATTAACACTTGATTCATATGTTTTTCATTGTCCTTTTCTGGGTAAAGACGATAACTTGGTAAGCACAACTAACTATTGCGCGCAATATATGGCATCTTAGTCAACAATTTTACCTTTTGCGTTCATTGAAGATCAAAAATAAAATAAAAATCAAGAGCACATAAATAGACTAAATCACAAACTTCCTGCTCATTAATAAGGCAATTCTCAAAATTAAAATGACAGGCAGGCCAAAAGAGCATACAGATTCGAAGTCAGCGGCTTGGAATATAAACAAAGATATAACTAACTAGGCTCCATCTGGCTGGACAAAAGGGTTGGCAATCTCGTCTGTACCATCAGTTGGTGACACCAGCATCACAGCAGTTCCCCTGCAAATCTGTAGCACAATGAAACATTGTCCTCATTACCTCCATACTTACATTGTGAGAGAATAATTAATGATAGTCTGAAAGGATTCTCTACAAAGTACTACAATTCCGGATGCTCTGAAAATGTAGAAGATAAATTTTTCATGCAATCTTTTTTTTTTTTGGCTAGTGATAAAATGTTTAGAGGCATAGGTAACAACTAAATGATGGTGGTGGTTAAAGCATAGGCAATTGTTATGAAAATCATAAAGGACTACATAAACTGCAGAAATTACAGGCTCTTGTCACAATGACAGAAAATTTATGAAAAACCTATCAGATCCTAAATGAAACTTAACTACTCAAGTAATATGTAGTTAATAAAATTATCAGTGTAAGATCTAACAAAAACAACGCTCTAAAATGTAACCGATTTGGATTATTTTGGTTAAATATCTTCAAGGGTCAAATCTAAACAACTTTTTAAATAAAAAGAACATTTAAACAACAATACGTTCTGATTTTATATCAATTTGAGAAAAATAATATTATTCTGAAGGTTCAGCTCAGTCCATCTTGCCCAGAACATACCAAAATTTTAAATTTTGGACCGATATTGTCTGGACTTTCAAAAAATATAATCGTCCAAACTCATTCTACATGACGATTTTGGGTCAAATAGTCCCTAGCAATCATACACCACATTTCAGGTCATGATAAATTTCAAAACATACACACCAGTTTGGGCCCATGCAAAACTAGACCCTTGTTGTGAATGTATAAATAGAATAAATGAGATCAAACAAAAACATACAATTAGGCCAAGGCGCCTTGTCTGGTCAGTGGTCTTCAGTGGATCATCAGCATCTGCAGGACAAATGAAACGAAATCAAAATCAATCCTTTTGCACTCTCTCACAGAAACTGCAAACAGCACACACATAATTATCTAGATAAAACTTCAGCCCTCAGCAAGGGCAAAAGTGACTGCAGTTGCACAGTTCAACAAAAATCTTGCTGAAGTGAGAACACATTGGTGCTCAATATTTGATACTGGACGATTATACATTTCAAGATGATGTCAGTGCCATAGAAGTAGCTGATGCGTTGCATGCCATTGCAGGCCACTCTCCAAGACTCCAACCCCCAGTACCATAGTGCGATTTTGGAGTTAACACTATTATTACAAAATCCAGCACACCCAAATGAAATGATAGCAGAAAGGTTTCTGGCTGCTGTTAACATGAATTAAATTGAATGGAATGATAAGTTTCCATGAATTAGGTGACAGAACAACAGAGCTACCTGGAGAGATGCTCTAAAACAAGTCCAGGCAAGTGTCCTTTTGGCCAAATCAAACTAAATATGGTTGGGAACATGCATTACATAATAAATACAAAACTACCATAATGCATTACCAGAGCAACATAAAAAAGTTACCTCTTATAAATTCTAATGCTTCATCCAGGACAAGGTTTAGCAACTGATCATATCCCTTCAAAGTCCCTGTCACTGAACCCAAAAGAGTAACAGGTTAGTCTTACATACCACGGATAGAATGTGATAATGCTTTATTTCCTAGAGATCTGGAAGCTCTTTCTCAATTAAGAAGTAGTAGAAGGAAAAGTTCTAAGGATCTGCAGAGGTATTTGCTGACAACAAAGAAAAATTACACAATAATAATTCTTTCTTACTTGTTAACCCAAACTTAGTTATTAACTCAACAACCACACTCTTATTCCCACACCCATCTACCCTATACAATTTCAAGCATGGCTTGTGCCCTACGTGTTATGTTCTAATGACCAATGACGAACCCATATCCTAAATCTTCTAATTCAAAACCTAAAATCACAACACATAGGAACAGCAAATAAAGGCAGATCTCTAATTGCAAAAGTGACCATCTATTACACGATCAAAATACCATCCCAAAAATAGATCTCCCACAGCGAATGTTGAACATGGCCCTTCCATAGTCCATACTAGTCATCTGCCTTCCTACTAGTGTCTAAAATTCAAAAAATAGGGATCCTCCTTCGACCCTTTACACCCAACTTAAGAAAAACTGATGATTAAAATACTGCACATCACACTCAGTTTAAGTAAACACACTACAAGTCCTCTCATTTTTTTTTCTTTAACCTAATCACCCAAAACAACTAACTGAACTCCCAACAATGCAAAAACAAATCATAATCCAGAAATCCATACCCATAATATCTATATAAACAAAAGGAAGCAGAAAAGTAAAACGTATTAACCTTGTCTACCACCAGTGAGTTTGACTTGAACACCCTTGTCTACAAACTTAGCCAAATCCAATACTGTTTCTTTCCTCCCTGACTGAAATCACAATTAATTACACACCGTAAACCCTCATCACAAAAGAAGCAATCTAAAACATAATTTCAATTAATGCTTACCATATTTCTAATCAATTACGCAGCACCCCTTTACACGGAAATCCAATAACCCTAGATCGATACAAAAAGAGAAAGGGTGTGATTCATATATGGCAACGAGAAATATATCCATGATGAAAACTGATTAAAAATGAAAATACATTAACCAAAAAATTAAGCAAGAACCTCGTTTTTTCCAGGAAGTGAAGTATGCCCTAGATTCTCTCTCTTTCCCTGTACTGCAGTGCTTTTCCCGCTTTGCTTGCTCACTGAAGCTAAAACCACAGTACCAGCGGTAGTCGAACAAAGAGGTTTGGACTCTTTACCCATTTTTACTTCGGTTTAAACAATGAAGCCCAAGTTTCGGTTTCTTTGGGCTCAAATCTGAGCGAACCCAAGAAAGAGATTTTTTTATTTTATTTAATACAGAAATGTAAATGACAAAAATGGCCTTAAAAAAGGGTATACACGTAGTTTTGTTGAAAACAAAGGGTATTTTATTATGGGGTGGGTAGCATATTAATAAAGTGGAACGAGAGATTAGGGTTTAGTTGTAGCAGCCGAAAGAAAAGAGAGAGGTTGTGAGTTTGTAGGGAATAGCTGCGCTGCAAAGATGCCGGAGAAATCAGGGAAAGGAAGAAAGGAAGAAGTTGTTACCAGAGAGTACACCATCAACCTTCACAAACGCTTGCATGGATGGTACCTCACTCTCTCGCTATTTTTTTTTGTTGACTTTTCAACTGAAAATGGTTTAGATCTGATATAAGAACAGAACAGTTTAGTTGTATGGGCTGATATTAGTTTCATCTTTTATTGTTAGGTTTAATATTTATTGAATGATTTTATTTACTAGATTTTTTTTTTGAGTTATTGAAATATTTTTGCCTCTGTAAAACAACAGATTTGGTTAGATTGAAATGTTGAAGGTTTTGTTTGTTTGGTACATGAGGGAACCGCTGCTACTATTGGTTGCAAAATTAATGTTCTAAGAGAAAAGAGAATTAGAAGCAATGAAAAGTTGTAGGCTGCGTATCCTATTCATATACAAGAGCCCTTTATGCCCTTGTTTATCGTTTTCATATCACCCATTTCCCCCTTTTCATATCACCTGTTGATTGCTTTTAATTGACTTGGAGTTTTTGTTCCGTTTTCATTTTTTAGTGTTTTGCTTGTGAAATGATATGAATATATTTTCTTCAGACTTGTTTGTGTTATTTTAAATGCTGGCTGGATTATTTTACAGCTTGCTTACATGAAATGATTTTACCATTTCGGATTAGCAATCTGTCTATTATAAGCTTTTGTTTTTTTACTTCTGTGTTATTTAAATGTACTTTTGTTCTGAATGCGAGACCCAAGGTCATTTAAGTAGTGAGGGTTGAGAAGTTCAAACCTTGATAGACTAATAATTGATGCAATTGAACAAGTTTGTGAAGTTATACTCAAAGTCATTCAACTTTTTTAAAGTTGCGAATTCCTATTTGCTAATGCAGTTTTATTGAATTACTTGTTGTCCGATAGCCAACTCTATCTTTCTTCTTGGTGTGGTGGTTGGTATGATATGTTTTGATAACACAGCAGAACTAAATTTTCTTTGATTTCTATGTGAAGCACCTTCAAGAAGAAGGCTCCAAAGGCCATTAAGGAAATAAGGAAGTTTGCTCAGAAGGCCATGGGGACAACTGATGTTAGAGTTGATGTGAAGCTAAACAAGCATGTGTGGAGCCATGGTATTAGGAGTGTGCCAAGGAGAGTTCGTGTTCGCATTGCACGGAAGAGGAATGATGAAGAAGATGCTAAGGAAGAATTTTACTCCCTGGTCACTGTTTCAGAGCTTCCTCCAGAGGGTTTCAAGGGGTTGGGCACTAAGGTCATTGATGACGAGGAAGAATGAAGTAACCTGCTTCCGTAGTGTTTGTAGTTGGCTTTCAGTTTTGGCTATATTGATAATTAATCCCGTGAATTTCAAAAATATCCTTTCCCCCATAGTGTTTTTAGTTGAATTTCAGTTTTGGCTTTATCCTTAATTAATCCAGTGAATTTTGAAAATATCCTTGTTGCCTGATTTATGCGTTCATAGTTTTAAGTATCTCTTGGTTGATGTTTAATATAGTGTTTCATTTCTTTATTGGCCATTGTCTCTACAAGGGAATGTGTGTGCATGATAGTGCCACTAGGTTAACAACATTATGACCACAAGGGCTTACAAGAATTGAATGGCTATCCTGCCTATAAGACATTTGGAACGGAGTTCTTTGGTTGTCCTAAGGTGTGTGCTTCCAATGTCCTTAAGTTGTGCGGGAGTTTACAGTCCATGTTAATTTGGTGTTGTTTCTGCACATCTTAGCTTGAACTCTTAACTGTACCTTCTTTTTGTGCTAACAGAAGTAGGGTTTGTGGAAGTTTGGTTTTCAGCTTTGTGTCCTTTAGAGATACGGAGCTCTTTTAGTGCAACTTGGGAAGGGATCTCCTACCTCTAAATCTCAATTGCGAGCTCTTGTTTCCTTTTGAAATGGGCACGCCTTCAAGGCTTTAAGCCGAGTTAGTGTTTGTTCAAGGTGCTTGCTTTGAGGCCGCTTTCTGATAATCAATCTGTACTCTGTCTGAATTACAAGGACTGAAATTTACCATCATTTTTTGGATCAAGTAGATTGTCTTCCCCAGGTTAAGGAGCTGATTAGTGGGTGCTTCACGTAAAACGCCTGGAGCGATAAACCATTCCGTAGACATTTTCACGGAAAATTCACCATGATGCTAACCATAGAAAATTAGAACATCGAGGGCGCATTTAACTTTTAGACGGATAAATCAGGGAAAAGAAGAGGACAAGAGGCATCAATCTTCACAATTGCTTGCACGGATGGTACGGGTACCTCGCCTCGCTTCTCTATCTACGTATATTTACATAAATAATAGTCACATGAGAGAATATTTGTCTCTAAAACTGAAAAAATTTTAGATGTCTGATCTAAAAGGAGTTTGGGATTAGATTATAATTTTATTATTGCTTTCACCTTGTTGTACTTGTGTTTTGCGAGGTTTCTACTTAGTAATTTCTTTTTTAATAAGCAAATTTTTCCTTTTCTTTTTCGGGGTTACAATTGATAGCAGCACAAAACAATATGGGCAACACGTGCCCTGTATGGAAGCCTGGAGTAGGCAAGTCCATCTAACTTCCTATCGATAACTCCAATATTTAGCTATGATAAAGCTGCACTAAGAATACGAATTCTTGAGATTTCAAACTAAGTGCTTGATATCCAAAAACAAGAGAGAATAATATATGGTGACGAGAGGAAAGATCAGCTCCTTGGAAATAGTTCTATATGTGCACCTTATGTCTTTTTTTTTTTTTTTTTTTGGGTGCTATATGCACATCTTATATCTAGAGGTAGCATTCGTTTTCACAGAAATTTACAATAATAAAAATTTTTTTGACTATTTGACGGACACCGAAATCCTACAAAAACACTTTCTTATGTTGAAAATGCCTCCATAACCATAAGAATAAAAAAATTCAAATTTAGGAAACTGGTCCACTATCGATTGATAAATAGGCCCAGTCTCAGCAAATCGTGCCCGCGAAGCTTTTCCTTTTGGTTTTTTCAATATACAATTAATCCCGCCATCGCCTGCCCAAAAATCCACAACGCGACTGCCACTCAGATCTAATCAGTCAAACTGGCTCCATTCCGTTCAATCGCTTAAGGTAATCCCAAATTCTCTCCTTATTTTCTCTTATCATTGCTGTTTCTCCTTCCATTTCCTTATTTCCTTAGTTTTTTGGTGTGTTTCCCGAGAATACGAGCTCCATTTCCAGATAGAATTTAAACGCTTTAGGTTAAGTTGCTTAGTTTCTCGTAATTAACCTTTTTTATTTTTAACTGCATTTTCACGCCATTATGTAATTAATATGGTTTTTGTGCTTTAATTCGGAATTTCTTGGGTGTATATTATCTTGTTAGAAAAATGAAGGGAGACCTAGACTATTCTCCGAAACTAGAAACCGGTGATGTCAAGCATGTCTCCGGGCTTAGTACTATACTGGTAGCAACAATTCAGGAAGCAAAAGATAGGATTTCTCAGATAGAATACATATTCTGCAACCAGCTTTACCCGAATTTCCAAACGAAATCTAAGAGCTTGCAGAAGATTTATTTGGATGCGGAAGGGGCATGGAAAGAGAGGGAAACAGATCTCTTGGAGCAAATTGAGAAGCTTCGGGTTGAGAAGCAGGAAGTTGTTGAAGAAAACAAGCTTCTCAAGATTGGGAAGGAAAAGTTGGTGGGGGAGCCGAATGAGAAGGCAAATGTGCTGCTTGCTGTGCTAAGAAATAGAGAATCGAGAATTGATGAGCTGGAACAGGAGGTTATGAAGAAGTCTAAGGAAGTTGATGAGGGGATGGAATTGCACAACAAGTTACTTCAATTGCTTCAAACCAAGGCGGCTATGATTGTGGATAAAGGGAGGGAATTGAAAAGGAACGAGGAGAAAACCAATGAGGTGCTTGTCAAAGCGAAGAGCTTAGAGAAAAATGTGGAAGAGCTACAAGAGGAGGTTAGGAAGAAGACGGAGAAGGTAGCAGAGAAAACAGAGTTAGCAAACAGTTTGAGCGAGAAAGTTTTGTCTCTATTGTCATTGATTGAGGATAATGAGAAGTTGAAGACTGAGAAGGAAGAACTTGTGTACACAGTGGAATCTCTGGACGAGAATCTTAGTGGACTTAAAAACAAGCTTAGGGAAAATATAGAAGAAATTGAAGGGGGAAGAGTACTGCAAGCAGAATTACTTCGACAAATTGATGTGAATGCTGTGGAAATCTTGAGGCAAAAAGAACAGTTAGAGAAGTCTGAGAATGATAAAAAGGTGCTTTTGGACAAAGTGAATGGGTTAGAGGAGAAGGTCAATGAGCTACAGGCAAATCTCAGAAGCAGCAGTAAAGAGGCTGAAAGAAAGGTTTCGTATGAGAATTTACTTCATCGAATTGAATTGAAGGACTCTGAGTTGCTGGCTGAGAAGACAAAGATGAGGGATTTGCATGGTCTCTACATGAAGTTGAGGTCTCAATACAACTATCTCTGCGCAAAGTCTGGTCTTACTACAAAGAATATGCTTAATGACAAATTAGAAGATGAAAGTGGTTCCTTCAAGCATCAACCGACAACTTCAACTGGTAAGGTTTTATTGCTCCTTTACTTCATGTTTCTATGAAGTAGAGAAGAACTAGATGATTGAATTCGGTGGTGATTTGTTAGTAGTTGTAGCTTGGTAGATGATATATAAATTGGTAATTTTTTCTGGTAGGTACTTCAAATGTTTATTCTGGTTTTTCTGTATTTATGATGTCTGTGCTTTATAAAATCTAAAAGAAAGAGGCAATCCTAAGGGCTTGTTATGTTGTTTCTCATAAATTGCATGTACTTGTCTTCCTGATGCTAACCAATCTTCCATTGCTTGGTATTTTAGACTGCAGGAACAAAAATGTTGATGCATCTGCCACAACTTGTGAGATGAAAGAAGTGAAGACTGAAAATGAATTTAGTGATGGTTTGGTGGATGATAAAGTTGTGAAACCAATTCCAATTGCTAACTTCAAATCTCCTACTTGTGGTTTTGTTGCATCAAAATGTCCTTCCACTGTAAAAACTGCTCAAATAATTGGCGCAAAGCGACCAGCATCTAGTTGGATACATACTAGATCTCGTCAAGGCAAAGATGGGCCTGACCCTCATGATGATTTCCTTGATACCCCATTGGAGAACCTCAAGGCAGACTTGGACAAAGCCACGACGGAAGAAGTTCATGATAAAAACATGGGCCCTGGCAGTTCAGATGATGAAACGCAGGATATAAATGTTGATCGTGATCCAGGGGAGCAGCAGATGCCAGTTCAGATGGGTGGCAAAAGAGGTTTTAAGTATGTTGAGCCAGTTCGAAAGAAAGCTGAGCGGCAAAATTTGAAAGGAGTTGAATGCAAGCAGTGCAAAAATTCTACGATGCAGTTCTTCCCAATAACGGAGGCAAGTCTACTGGTAGTAATAAGCAGAACGTCCGCTGTGAGCATCATGATGGTGTTTCTAGGCATCGATATAAGTATGTTCCTCCATTGACTCCTGAAGGATTTTGGAATATTGGATTCGAATCTGAAATGTGATTTTCTTGAGCTTGAGATGTCTTTACTATTTATCACATTATTCTGAGTTTTAAACCAGATCTGTTAAATAACTGATAAGTGGAAGTAAAAATAATATATCTTCGAGCATCAGGAAGATCAATCCTCTTCCCCTGTTACCTGATGTGTATCAGAAGTCAATTTATCTTTTTCATAACATTAGGTTCCTTTTTATGTTTGCTATTGAAAGACACATCCAATATGGAAATTGACTGTTCCAAAGCAGGTTAAATCATCAAAACAAAGGTCTATTCGATGTTCTTTAGGCTTCTATTTATGCTAAACCTTGCTCTTTTGCTGTCAATTAGGATAGGAAATTCTTGAATGACTTTAAATGGCCAAGTGCTCCCCTGGGTTGCAATTGTATTATTTTTCTTTATGATTTATCTATTTTTCTGATTCAATCTTGCTTTGCAGTTTTTGACTTCGGACTACTTTATAGCTCCAAAAGCCAAGCTTTCAGTGATGTCTTTTGCTAAGATTAGAAATGCTGTATCACTGTGTAACCTATTCATCTTCTGTCTTGTTTGTGGTGATTATATTTCATCATTAATATGAACCTGGTTTTATAAATGAGGGTGGAGCTATAAGCAATCTACATGAGGTAGAGGTATACCTTTCATTTTCTACTTGACAAGGTTTAAGAACTAGAAACAGAAAAAGAAGTCATAAAGAAGAAGGGAGGTGTTGTTTTCTTATAATTGCTTTGTGTCCAATATGAAAAAGTACCGAAATTTTAAGTTCGTCATACCTCAGAGAGAGAACACAATGACTGAAACTGAGATAGTACAACACAACTTTGATGGAAAGAACGCGTTAGAGGCAATAAAAGCATGTTATGTATGTGATTGAAAAATGCCCCTAGCCCACTAGAAAGCAAACATTGAGTTGTTGGTTAGGTTAAGAATTCGATATTTATACTAAGTATTTTTTAAAAAAATTTCTTAAAATATTTAGAGTCGTACTTTGAGAACTATTTCTTAATTATGTTCAATGAAGGATTGGTTTCCAAATATGTAAAGACTGATCTGAAAAAAAAAAAAAAAAACCCTACTCCCATATTTAAGTAGCATCACGGGACCCTTGCTCAGAGGTTAGTCCGAGGAACTTTTATTAAGGGAAGTACTCGATGCTTAGTTCTTTCTAATTAAGGTTGGTCACCTGCAGGTGCCCTAAGACCTACGGCACTGCCTTCTCATTCAACTGAATGTTTAATATCTGGTTAAAATTTTCTGAGTCGTGACCGGATCTGGTCATAGCATAACTGGATACTCGTCAAATTCAGTTAAGGCCGAAATTGCTTAACTACCAAATCCGATGGAATGTGATGTTTGGACATAGAATCGAGTTCTTGTGAATGGACAGAGCCAGGGCTCTTATTTTACGACGGTAAGCACGATTGCTTCCATTACTGACCAGAAAGACACCAAATTCCCCTTTTGGTGCTTCAACTGCGGTATAAAAGACGTTGGCTGACTTACTAATACCAGCACCACCAGAAGAAAGCTTTCTTCTGCCTTTCCTTCCTTTTACACCTCGAATTGGGACTTCTAAGTGGTCCTTGACCATTCCTCATTGACCCAGCTGTCCATCAGGCAAACAACGAAAGAACCTAAACAAGGAGCTGTCAATAATATTTTATTCCCTAGTCCAGGCCTTAACCATGTCCTCATGAGAGGAAAGGTGGATCATCACATGCCTGGGATCCAAAAGCCCCACCACCGCAGGCTGGGAACGCCCCCAAGAGGTCTAATATGTTCCTTGATGGTATTGAGGGGAGGCCGGGAATTCCGCCTGGCGACGCCAAAAAACCGTGTAGTGCAGGAGCCAGATTTTTTGGCGTTTTCTTTCACTTGAATTTCCAAAACTATAACCAGTTGGAGGTGCGCCCGAATAATAATAAAAAAGCTTATGTCTAAACAGAACTTCTGTTTATACACATTTTTTATTCTTAATAGAATCATAAAGGGAATCGGATTCTATCTAATACAGCGAAATTTTTTTTTAAAATGAAATAAAATGGAAAAGATGCCGGAAGGTCAAGGAAGTTGGTGACCTGATGAGAGGGGAGCAGGCGACTGAAGCCCCAGTGAACGGCGGCTGTAACTGTAAAGGTCCTAAGGTAGCGAAATTACTTGTCGGGTAAGTTCCGACTTGTGATATCCAGTTGAGGGAAAATGAAAAGTTGTCTTTAACGAAAAAAATCTGTTAGTTCTGGAATTTACGTGACTGTTCGAAATATTATAGAAAGTGTTCCAGAAAATTGTCCACCTGTTTCAAAACATCAACAGTCAGTAGAAAAGTGTCACTTTTGACACTGCTGGATTTCTTTGAAAGAAGGAAAGATGCAAGGGGAAACTCGATGTCGCGAGTGGATGGTTTGCTTATCCGGATTTGAAAGGTGGTTCAAGAAGTTACTTAGAATTAGTAGAAGGTTTCGTCATGTATTGTTGAAAGTTGTTCCTGTTACGAACTCAATGAAGGGTAATTAAAAAGTAAGCCATTTTCTGGAGGCAGCTGTTCATGTTACATTTTCTGTTCTGGTTTATGAGGATACAGACTAGTCTGGTTTTGGGCAATGCAGTAGAGACATTTGGTACACGCTAGCAAACCAAGGCCACTATCGCTAATGGGCACCATCCGTGAGAAGGGGGTAGCGTTGTGAGATTGAAATCAATGAGGGAGGCAACATTTATTACTTAGGAACATGCATTGCTGTATGCAAGTCTGACCTCTGCTGTTGTGTTTACTCCTCTTCCCACCTAACGATAGCATAAATGCCGAGTGGGAAATTTAAGTGCTATCTTTAATAAATGCATGCACAAAAGTATGGGTATGCAATATCTTTCTTTTTTTAAAAAATTAACTATTACAAAATTTTGAAAAAATTATTCCCAATATATACTCTGGAAGGATTTTGTCATAGTCACCAGGTGAACGAGAGAGATAAGTAAAATCGAGATGCAAAGAAAAAGCTTATGATGCTAACCTATTTGCTTCTATGTAAATATGAATGAGCTGAACCCGTCAGTCTTTATTCAACATTGTCTGAATCGCAATAACAAAAAAATCAGAAGTGCCCACCTCTTTGTATGGGACTGAATTACCTGTATAACCAATAAAGAATCTATCTTAAGCAACACCTGATGATAACCCAAGTTTCAAGCCATCTTCAAACCAATAAAGATATCTTATAACTCAGCACAAACGATAAAGCACACCCTATTACGAGAAAAACTATTTACCCCATAACTATACACCATTATGGGTATGCACTGTCTTTATGCAAACAATAATTGGCTTATACTGCTGCTTGTTAGCAGCTTCCTCGAATCCAATGTATCTGAAATTTCCATGCGATAATTTATTTATTTATTTTTGGGACAAGTCCATATATATTAGTAGTCAGTTATTAGGAAGGGAGAGTTGGCTTAATACCCCACGATAAGCGATTAATCTGCTGTCATAACAAAGTTGAGAGGCTAATTTTGACAATCTCTTACTTAGGATATAAACAAATTTAATTTAATTCTTAACATTCGTTAAAAATTGAACCCGTAAGACCGTCACTAAATGAGCTACAAGTTTACTGGCATTTATGCTATAAATTGGTTCGTAACATCTTAAATAGATCAGTAGATCATAATTCTTTTCAAACTCATTTATAAGCAAAAGAAGAAATTAACGACATGTTTAATTGGTTGGATATATTAAATATTTTAATGCTATATTTGATTGATTAGTTTTTAAAATTATAATGCAATAGACTATTACAATTATGATGACTCGTTAGATTACAAACCTTACACAAAAAGCTATGTATCGAACCATCGCATGATTAAAAAGTACTAACATAGGGATGTAATTGTAAAATGTTTCATCATAAGGACTAAAATGTTTTTAATAAAATTCCAATAAGGACCAAATTAATGTTTTAAAAACAAATAGATGCTGAAATGAAATTTTGTAAAAACCTTCATTGTATTACTAAGAATTTTTATAACAGCGAAAGAATGTACGCATCAATCCATTCCGTTCCATTATTGATTGTACTATATAATAGATTATATCCCTATATATCAAATATACCGCAATGGATTTGATTTTGCACTTCCCGAGCAGTATCGAGAAAACTCGCAGGTTTCAAAAGTAGAGCAGCGAAGGTAGAAGTAAAATAAATTGAGGACCCTTATTTATTCATGGATAATTTTTGTAAAGGACAGAAAGATACAACAGCCTTCAATCTCTGTTCCAACTTCTAAGTTACCCAAGAATATCAACCACACGTCTAAGGAAATAGTTAATAAGTAAAGCAAATCTTTTCATACAAATAATAATGTCGAATCTCTTTATGATCCTACTGACTACTGTCGTTGATCACGTGGATGTTGTTTTTGCCTTGTTTGTTCTTTTCAATCCAAAGGCTAAAAAACAAAAAGAAAGTGCTCGGATGTTTTCTTAATTACCTTACCCTCACAATGACAATGATTTACGGCCTCTCCCTCTCCCTCTCCCTTCCTTCTGAAAGAACCAGCTCATCTTTTCATGTCTAAGTTGTCCTTATTGTCTTACAATTATTTCAACGATGCCCATTTAATAAACAAATAATAATGATGCTTAGTATTTATTTAAGAGTACATGATCTTGATCTCACTTTCCCAATAATCTCTTGTCATTCTAGCTCATGCCGTGTTATCACGTGCATGCAACTGCGTTACATTTTGTCCATTTCCACTCGATCAGGATCAACAACATCACCAAACATTACATTTTGCAATTACATTAATAAAATCTAGAAATAACTCACACTTAATATGAGGATCCACTTTTACAATAATGACAATTCAACACACCTATAAGATAACATCCACCCGGCATTTCGGGCGAAAAACGAAACCCCCAGCCGATCCTTATGTTAACAAGTCCTCAATGGGTTCCCGCAAAGACAATCATTGAAACTAAATGAGGATGCTTCAAGGTGATCAAATGGAGTCCCAGCAGGAATTGGTCCACAAAGATGGTTATGGCTTAAATCCAAATGCCCCACATAAGCTGCTGACGAAAGTGAACCGGGTATCGGACCCTTCAAATTGTTGTAAGACAAATCGAGAGCCATAAAGTAAGATTTTGGCCCGAAAACATCCGGTATATTACCTTCAATAGCATTTCTGCTCAAATTCAATATCCCCAAACCAGTACTACTCAACAAAGCTGGTGGCAATGGACCCGAAATCATGTTACTGTCCAAGTTAAGTGTGGAAAGAACCGGCATGCTGCCTATCCATCCCTGTACCGAACCCGAAATCTGATTAACAGACAAATCCAAGTCTGCAAGACGATACATGCCAGATATAGAGCTTGGTATTGCTCCACTTAGCTTGTTTTTACTCAACAATGCACGGCTAAGCATTTTCAAGTTACCAAAATCAGCTGGCAACTGACCAGTCAACTTATTGTTGCTAAGATCCAAATGCTTCATATTTGCCAAAGTTGTGAGAGAAGCAGGAATCTCTCCAGTGAGTGCATTATCAGCAAGGTTTAAAACAGTAAGTTTCTTTAGATTCCCAATATTAGCAGGAATCTTGCCAGAGATTTTGTTACCTATAAGATCCAAGATTCGGAGATTACTTAAAGAAACAACACATTCAGGGATTTCACCTGAAACCGCTTTCCAGTCTGCAAGAATGAGAGTAGAGAGCCCGTCAAGTTTACATATTGAAGGGTTGATGGAACCTGTCATGTAACCTGACCTGCCAGCTTTTTCGAAGATGGGGTCTTCTGATTCACCACGCAGGTTGATGTCAGCAACTCTGCCTGTGGTGGGGTCACAGCTGATGCCGTACCAGTTGGAACAGCAGCTAGTGCCTGTCCATGTATTGAAGATGCCTAAGTATGGTTCATTGAGGGATGACCTGAAGGCTTGTAATGCTGCTATGTCTGATGGAGTGCAGCTGGAAGTGACTGAGGAGATGAGGGTGAAGAGGAGAGTTAGTGTTGTGAGTAACACACTCATCTCCGGTGATTTTGAGGTTTGCTAGAGTAAAATGCTGGAGGAGGTGCCTTTAATTTGCTAGAATGTGGTAGTTTTTGCGTTTTTAAGAGCAGGATGTCGGTAATGAAAGCTGTGTGTTATGTAAGAGAGGGAGAGAGAGTTGAGGAGGGAAGGAGGGGAGGTTGCTGGGAGATGAGGTTTGTTATATAATATTCTCTGGACGAGTGTGTCCTTGATCTATTGTCTAATTTACGGTCCAAGGTCATACGACCATGATTAATCGCATGTTTCTTCTTTAATAACTAAATACTGTGATTAGTTGCTTGCGCATGCACTAGTGGATAGTAGTTAGTGTTTGAATTTAGTTCTTAATATTCCTTACTATATGTACTCATTTTCGTTTTTTTTTATTTAAAATATGAAAACAGAAACATAAAATTTGTTTGTCTTTTTTATTTTTGTTTTAGAAAAACAAGAAATTAACAGTTGCTTGTCAGAATTTTTCAAAATTATGACACTGGTTGTTAGTTTTGCCTTTCTTTATTAAAAAAAAATCAAAATTTTTATTTCTATTTCAAATTTAGTTTTTAAAAACAGAAAAAAAAGAAAAAGGAATTGATATTAAATAGAAAACGAGAAATGCGAATGATATAAAGCAACTCCTTAATAATTTAACTCAATTTATATTTATCTATGACTTCATTTTAAACTCGAGAGCCGTTACCTGACATCTTAAAAAGAATATTTTTTGGAATCAACCATTAATTAATTTTTTTAGCAATAAATCTTCCAGCTCTCTTCCAATTACAGGCCTCCATGAACTGTAATTAGAAAACGTACAGGTAAGCGAGGCCTCTGAAGGGCCCTAACACAGCCTTCCTTAGTCATCTGCGGGCAGGAAAAATAGTAATGGCCCTAATCCAGTTGTGCAGTCTCTGTGCAAAGGACATGCGTTTATAGCATTATCTGCTGGAAAATGGAAAAAAAGAGGCTAGCTTTCAGCTGAGAGTGGACACCGGTTACTTCATCTAGCTAACAGGATGGTACGAAGACCCTACCATTATTTCACAATTAAAATCCCAGTCCTAATGATTAAGACTTTTCTTGTTTTCGATTTTTACTTTTCGAAAGTAGATCTTGCCAAATAAAACAAGTTTTCTATTACAATAATCAACGACATAATCAGTGCTAAGTCATTAGTACCTCGAGGAAAATTCTTCAACCAAACTATTGTCTGATGCAATGAATCCCTGCGTTGTTGTGCTTGTTTTCCTCTTTCGAAAGAATCTGATGTCATGAGAGAACCACATTAATTTATGCATGTAAGCATTCCTCTTAGATGTTGATCTTACCTAAATTTTATGTTTTGTACGTAAGTGCTTGAATATTTAGCTAGTTTGGAATTTAGAAGGCCGTCCTTCGAGTCCATGACCCTAATTCATAGAATCACACTATTCTCTTCTTTTTGATAGGCCTTCCAGAATCCAGCTCACAGGCTCCCCTCCATATAAGGGAATTTCTGTACTCGCTTTTGGCACAAGTGGTGATCGATATTGGAATGACGACACATCTAGATCGACCCCACCAACCACGTCAACTACTAGTTTTTTTCATACCACGGGCAGGTCCATGCCCGAATGCCTTTTGCCTTTGCAGTATTGTCATTGTTCGTCACATCAAATGCACATAGACATTAAGCTTAAGCAAAATTTTGAGATAGGTTATAATGGAACCATACAATTAATCATCAAAGATACACCAAATAATAATAATAAAAAAAAGAATGTGAGTGGACATTAATTTAGAGACAGGATGAAGAAGTAAGAATATAAATTATGAATTTGTAGGAGACATGTAATGTGTCCTAAGTGAGAGGGTCCTTGCAACGTAAGCAATATTGTGCAACATTGAAGTCAGTATAAGGACCGATTCATAAAATCACCAGGCTGTGACTTGTACAAGATCTATCAGTTTGAGTAACAAGCAGTTTTGGTTCACATTCCTCTCGTTATACGTCAACTGTTCCTCCTTTTCAACTTCCCTGGAAGAAGGAAGATTTTGATTGGTTGACATGGTGGAGCCAGGGTATTCTGTTGAAGGCGCCTAAGTCGGCCAGCAAATTAATAAATGTTTCATGTACATTACAAATTAATTGTACATACTCTTTCTGCCTAAATCGTCTTTCTTTGAATTTTCACACGCTTTAAAAAAATTATTAACTATTATGCTATATCAATAATTTTCATACTTTTCTAAAATATTTTTTATTAAAAATATTATTTATCAAATTTAATCTTACATTACATGAAACCAAAATTAATTTAAGAAGAAAAAATATATCAAAATTTAAGATGATAAATAAAAAAATTAAATTAATTAATGATCAAATTTTAAAAAAAATTATAAAAAATAACATACTAGTCAAAATATTTTATTTCTAAAATTTCAGCATGCAATAGCGTCCGGATAATAATAAATATTTTTTATGCAACAAAACAAATTCTCTTTAAAATTTTTATGTAACATAAAAATTCTTAAATGTATTTATATGTACAAGAGAAAATTATAAAGAATGTTGATTTTTTATTGGTAAAAAATAGGAAATGGAAGAAAAAATGATTTTTTTCAATTAAAAATATTTTTTTAAAATATATGATTTAAAATTTTTATTAGAGAAGCATTTTAGAACATATATAAATAAAAAATGGGATAAATATTTTAAAATAAAAAGAGTATTTAAAAAATAGGTTCTACTAAATTGTTTCTATAGGACATATATATGTCTAGTCATTTAGATTATGGATGAAAATAGATCGGATATAAAGCGAATACCTATTTTACTCAATTCAATAAATACTCATTAAAAATGTTCAATAGATATTGAAGTAGATAAGAGTAAGAAAAAAATATCTACGCACTAATATAATTTCATGATATGTGTAAATAAATACGCATTAATATAGTTTCATGATACATGTATCTACTCTTAATTTATCTTATTAATGTCTACTAATTTATTTTAATTTTTTTATTAATATACAAAGATTTAATTGTATAAAATTCAAAAATTAAGAATCAAAATAAAATTAAATTAATAAGCGGATCCCCATCCATTACCATTCCTAGTCTAGACTCTAGATTATTAACGGTATAAGATAACATTTGAATTTTAAAAATCTAATATCTTGCTAATGTATATGCCCATCAGAGTATCTTTGAGAGAAATCCTTGGATAACAAACAAACAAACAATATGTATATATAGTCTCTGTGTGTGTATTTTTGAGAAAAAACAATGAATAATAATAATAATAATCAAAATTCGAAAGTTCAGTACAAAAGCTTTCGAATGTGCCGTGCCTCAAACTTATGTTCCTGAACGTTGCGCTTCACTTCTTCGTAATTAACTGATCAATCGTTTTGATGGGGGTTTACATTTATGTATCGGAAAGATTTTAAAATAAAAAGGACTCGATACTTTTATTTATTTTGAGAATGCAATCCATAGTTATCCTTCTATAACCTTGGAGTTCCCACATGATTTGCAAAAGAGATGCTAATTTGATTCTTGTTGGACAATTAATCAATCTACCTCCTGATTGAACCCATCTCTTTGTTTCTTTTCTTTTCTTTTTTTTTTTTTTTTGAAAATGCTGAGGGCAAAGGGTATCCAACTATCCATGAATAAGATAATTAAATTATGACCCTCTATATATTACACACACACAAATTAACAACTTGTATGTATATCACGTGATGAAAAAAAAAAGCAAGATAATTGTGTGCGTATTAATCAAATATATAGGCCCACCGTACTCACAATATTGGGTAAACAATCCATATGCTGTATGAGGATCATATCACATGCACATGCACATGCACACATGGGTAGGTGGGTTTTGTTCTTCAGCCTAGAGGTGCACTTCCTACTTTACACCCTATTGGATGTGGAATAAACATTACCAGCAATGTTAATTTTTTTGATAAAGATTTTACGAACTAGGTAAAATAAAAAGGATAAATTTAAATTATTTCAGCTCCTGTATTTAGCAACGTTCCAGTTATATTTTTATGGTTTTAAATTTCTTAATATTGACCTTATAATTTCCAAAAAAGTTTCAATGTGGCTTCTGATTGTTGATATGAATGGGTAATGACAGAAAATGATGATCCCACCTTTTAAATTATCGTTTTAAATTCTTTGAATTCTATTGACCTCTTGCCGAATATATCACATTTATAGGAGTTTAGAAGGAAATATGGAGGAAGAACATAAAAAATGAAAGAAAAGGTGGGGAAAAATGCAGAATATTTGTCATAAAGATCTAAACTTATAAATGGCCTAATGAAGGGATACACGGATAATGATCAATCATGAAATAACATGGAGTTGTATTATATTGAAAATCATTGAAAGTTTGAAACTTGTCATGTGAAATGGTCAACCCAACAGACACCTCTACTCATAAAAAAAGGAGACAATGCCATGAGATTTTGGATTGTCAAATTATTACAAAAATAATTTAACTGTTTCATGTCGGTGGAGACACAGTTACAGACTCCAGTACGTAGCTACTTGCATATCACCTGTTTCACCATTTTTAATTATTAAGTTTGCTCTGTTGTTTACCTGCTTATTACAGTTTGTTTTCTTCTGTAACAAACCCGATGAAAAAATGCATGTTTTTTGGGATATTCCGATTCAAGCACATGCTTATCCATTTCGACAAAGAGCTTGTGTCTTACTAATTTTTTACTACTTCTGCATTGCAATGCAATGCAAGTTGCAGATGAACAATATCTTGGAGAACATTGAACAAAAGTTTTTCTTGACCTTGTGAAGAAATTGTTAAGCTATAAAAACTGATATGATGTCATAACCCACAATTTAGAACACGACAATTTTGTTAAATTTCTGTATTGTATAATTATTCTCATCTTTCTAATTTATTTTTTTACTTGATTCATTTACTAAAAGAAGTTACAGCAGACTTCATTCAAGAAGTTTCCAATTCGTCTGGGAGTGTCAGTCCTTTTGCATATGATTTTGTGTTTCATGAAGAGCAAGAAGTTTTTAACAGAATGACCAGGTTATAGTGGGAGACCAACAATATTGACTCTGGATAATGACGATCGAAGAGTTGTCATGGCAAAACACAAGCACCACCAACGGTTCTGCCGAAGTGCCAATTTTGCATGGTCAATCGCATGTAGTTTCAACTAAAACAACGTCAAATATTGTTTTGGTTTGTAAATTGAATTTTACCTCTCCTATAAATCACTGTTAACCAAAAAAAAAAAATCCAAAGGTTATCCAAATTTTCCAAATAAATTACTGATGTTCTCACCTCCCGAAAACGAAGTATTAAAATCAAGCAAAACTATCCTCAGTGATAAATGACTGTTCGCCGTTCACACAATTTCCTGAGGGGAATTGAAGCTGCTCATAGTTCAACTGTCTAGAAGCTTCATACAAAGCGATACCAACACTCACAGAGAGATTTAGGCATCTAACATATGTTTCAACCATTGGTATCCTAACTGTCCCACCACCAAACATTTTGTTTTTGCAGTCCAGCAAGGCTTCAGGTGGCAAGCCAGATGTTTCTGAGCCAAAAACTAGATAATCGCCTTTCCTATAGGAGAATTCCTGCAAAGGGGACACATACATTACCTCATTTTAAACATGTATGGGACTATCATAGATTTTGACACCAATGAGATGCATGAGTTATTCACTCTTCGCAGATGATAGCTTTAACAACATGAAGAGATCAAAAGCACGGCAAAATTAGTTAATGAGTTGTAACAAGAAAATAAGACTTACTGAATGAGTTGCTGTTCCTCTTTTAGTAAATGCCAACAACCGTTTATCCCCTTCCTACATGCATCAACAGACAGTAAACATGCTGAGTCAAAGAAAGAAAACAAGTCTTCAAAATTCCACCATCAGAAATGACCAAAACCTGCTGCCTGAAGTAGTGTTGAAACTCCGCCCAAGAGTCATGAACTTTCACAACCACATATCTAAGGTTGAGAGTTAATGAAAGGAAACACGTCCATACAAAGTTAATGTTAATAGGATTTGAATATTAAATGATCTAGCAGAATGGTGCTTATAGGAGATCCATGTTGCATGTTTCAATCTCTAAAATCAGAAACAACTGAAAAGGTTGGGTCTGGCACAAAGAATAAAAATCATGCTTGTACAGCAGTAAACATTATCAGATGATTTTTTGTTCCTTTTTTTTTTTGGTTTGTCCATGTTCTTAAGGTTAAAGCAGAAGAAACTGTGCCATTCCACTAGTAGTCCATTTTACTCTGAACCTTTAAGACAGAAACATATATATCTTTAGTCCATTGTCAAGTGATGTTGTTGTGACAGAACAAGTAACTACACTGAAGAAATGTATAGCTAAAAGATGACATGATGGAAAATGTGCAAGGATACGGCCAGTAATCTAGTCCAGCACGCTTTAGTTTTGCATCATCAACTTGGAATCCTAAGGGCTGAAAGAGAAAGAGGCATGTCAAAAAGAGCAATAGGTGATAATCACTAAGTAAATGGTCAATTGTAAATTAGTACGCCAACTAAGTGTAGGCCAACTGCTGCAGCTGCACATGTTCTTGCAATGCAACCTGTATTTCCAGGAATCTGCCAAGGAACAACAGAAAGAGGTAGCCTTGAGAAATTGAGGTTGTCTGCAACCCAAAAGAAACAGGGAAATTATGTTTTAATCGATATTGAATTCAATGATACAAAAAACTTCTAACATTTGGAGAAATAATAACAGGGAAAATATACCGAGTTCCCGTTATCCACAACCATTTAATTTATTCCATCTATGGAAATCTACAATAGTTAATATTTCTTCCATTGGTGAACACAAACGCACATGAGATAGTTAGCAAGCAAAAAAAGGTTACTCCTTGTCTATACTCAAATAGTCATGAGCAAATTCCACAACAGTTTCAACCAAGTGGTACAATAGTGTAGTAGTTCACAATGAGCAAACAGAATGCGAGCTATCTAGTCCAACCAACCAGCCCACAATTTCCAAAATCAGGTTCACACCATAATGAGAACTCCGCAGTCTTTGAACAACTGAAGCAACCCAATTTATGAGCAATAACAGATCGTTTTACAAGAAACATCAACTTGACCACAAATTACTAGGAGCTTAACAATTCTTCTCAACATGTGTTGTTTTTTCTCTTCAACTAACAACGAGAGATAGGAACATCAGCTTTCAGCACATTTATTGCTGATAGTGCCTACAAACTACACAGAATATATCATATTCAATGCTTGATTTTGGACATTTTGAGCAAGCAACAGCAAGAACATCACAATCTTAACCCAGATGGTGTACAACCCTAATTTTTGACCATATATTCTCTTTATCATCTTTTTAATTAAAGAAACTGTAGTTGGCATGCACAGGCAGAGCTGCATATTATGTTCTGGAGTATGTATCTGGTCCAATGTCCATTTCAGTTCTCTGTCAATTTTATCTTCGTTCCCTCTCAAATATACTTATAACATTCTCTTAAAACATGAATGGTCATTTATCCTTAACAATTTCAAACTAAATGGCTCTAAAAGCCTATATTTTTTTATTCCATAAAGTACAAAACATAATGCTCTAATGATCTTCTTTCTTTTGCTGAAAAGTTTGTCTATTTTTGCATGATTAGATATAGCCATTACTTTAGACGATAAACATTGCATCTTCATCGTCGCAATTTTCTGGGATGTGTATAGTTACTTTGGGTGGTGGGGGGTGGGGTGCAGGCGGGTAGGAGGGATTTGGGGTTACCCCTCGTTGTATGGACCATTGCGTATTTGAACCGAAGAACAAGAACAAGAACAATAACAAATAATAATAGAGATTGAATAATCTAAACTTGCCTCATTTTAACTGCACCAATGACTTATATTGATACAATTCATTGACAATCTAATTGTCCCTGAAACTATAACAATTACATATAATTCACATAAAAAAACCCAAATTCTAATGGATTAACTTCTTCTTTAATAAAACCAATGAGTTTACTTAAACAATTTGATAATAATGTATGAAAATAACACAAACACTACCTTGAGCCAATAACAATTCTATATCTTGAATAAAAAAGATTCAAATTTAGAGTATAGATAGTACCTGAGGTGAAACCAGTACTACTTGAAGAAGCTTCTTATAATGAGAGACTTGACTAACTCCCTCACCCACTCCATTCGGCAAAGAATTCCCATTTCCTCTTTCAGCTACACCCACAAAATTAAACAATAAACAACCGCCAATGGCAAATAAAGCATCATACACATATTGAGACAGATAGTTAAAAAGATTATTTACATAGAGAACAAATAGGAGAGGACAGCTGAGATAATGAAAGATAAGAATTGAAATGCTTCTTGAATTGTGCTAAGCAGACAGGACGTAGAGCAGAAGCTCTTGAGCGGAAGTTGAAAGGTAAAGAGGTTATGTCATTTAAGGTTTTTATGCTCCTACTTGTGTCCATGGAAATGGAATTTCCACTAGTTTCTGCTGCAGCGGTGGGTTTTCGGCTTCTTGCTTCTACTACTGCTCTGCTTGGATGGAGCTACAGTGGAATTTGTGGATAAGAATGCTGTACTTATTTAAGAGTAAATTATAAATTAGTCCCTCTGGCTTCGGGAAGCAAATTAATTATTATTTTTTATTAAAAAAAAAAAAAACTTGTTCTTTCTAGTTTTAAAAACTAATTGTTTAATTTTTATGTTATTTTTAAATTTAAATTTATTTTTTATTTTAAAAATAGAAAAAAATAAATCATAAGTGAAAAAGTAAAAAAATAAAAAAATATATTTTTTTAAATAAAAAATATTAAATTATTCGTGATTAGTATTAATTAAAAAAATTAAATAATTAATTTTTAAAAATAAAAAGATTAATTTTTTTTAAACGATAGTTATTATTTTATAATTTACTCATTTATTTAATGTTCCTTAAAACAAAAATAGGCTTTTGTACATGCCAAAAAACATTAAAAAAAAAGAAAAATGAGAAGAAAATAATATTTTGAGGATCATAATACATATTTTCTCAAACAACAAGGACAGTAGTGCTAATTTATCCTACCATATTAAAGAAAGGGTTGGTGATTGCATATGTTTTTTTACTTTTTTATTGTTCTTTCTTCTTCTTATTATTTTTTCTTAAATTCATTTTTTTTTACATTACTTTCTGTTATAATATTGTTCTTGTTTTAATTTTTGAACCACCAATGTTAACTTTTTTTCTTTTTCTATCTTAATTTTATTCCTCTTTTTTATTTTAATTTGAATCAAAAAATTTAAAATAAAAATATATTATTAAGATTCTAAAAGATATGAGATTCGATTACTCATAACCATGTTCCTCTTATATATATATAATTCAAGTACAAGAAAGTGTTTCCGGACCAGCGGTTAAGATAATTGACTTCCAAGTGATAGACTTAGGTTTAACTCCCTGAGACGTATTTATGCTTTGATATATATATATATATATATTGTAATTCAAATACAAGAATGTGTTTATAGTCCAGCGGTTAAGATAATTGTCTTTCAAATAATAGACTCGGATTTGACTCCTCATATATATATATATATATATATATATATATATGGGATTATAACTATTCACAATCATGCTCACCTCTTTTTTTTTTCCTCGAGTACTATTCACTTTTTTTTTTTCAAGTTATTGTTTTCTTTTTTGCCCCATTTGTTTTTTTTTTCCATCAAGTTAGATTCTTTTTTTTCATCCATTGTTCACCTTTTTTTTTTTCAAGTACTGAGCGCTTTTTTTTCTTTTTCTTTTTTTTCAAGTTGTTGTGAATACATATCTTTTCTTTTTCTCCTCATTTGTTTTTTTCCCATCATGTTCGGTTCCTTTTTTTTTTTTTCGAGGTTATTTCATTTTAATCTCTAAAATTTTAATCCCCTAACCGATGCACTACTCGTACCTTTTTTTTTCTCCCTTTTGTTCTGTTTTTTTTTCCATGAATTTATGTTCTTTTTTTAATTAGGTGTTAAAATTTTAAAAAATCAATCACTATTTTTTTTCATACAAACTAACAATTATATAACATATATGATATTTCATTTTTTTCAAGTTGTTGTGAATTTTTTTCTTTTTTCAAGTTGTTGTGAATGCATATCTTTTCTTTTTCTCCTTCTTTGTTTTTTTCCCATTGTGTTAGGTTCTTTTTTTTTTTTTTTTTTCAGGTTATTTCATTTTAATCTCTAAAATTTTAATCTCCTAACCGATGCATTACTCATACCTTTTTTTTTCTTTTTTGTTCTTTGTTTTTTTCATGAATTTATGTTCTTTTTTTAATTAGGTGTTAAAATTTTAAAAAATCAATCGTTACTTTTTTCATACAAACTAATGATTATATAACATATATGATATTTTTTATATCTATAAGATAGGTTTTTTTATTCTACTATGATATATGTATATATTTTTCATTTCAAGTTGTTTTGCTATACATGCTTTTTTTTTTCCTTTGCTTTTTCCATCAATTTAGGTTCTTTTTTTAATTAATTTTTTTTAAAAATTTTCAGGTTGTTTAATTTTGGTCTTTGAAATTTTAAAATAAAAATATTTTAATATTCTAAGCGATGCACTACTCATGTCTTTTTTTTTTCTTTTGCTTTTTGTCCATCAATTTCTGTTCTTTTTTTATTAATTGAGTGTTAAAATTTTGAAAAATCAATCGTTGCTTTTTTTCATACAAAATGACAATTATATAACACTACTCATGTCTTTTTTTTTTTTTGCCTTTTTTTTCCATCAATTTATGTTCTTTTGTTTTTTATTTGATTAGGTGTTAAAATTTAAAAAAATCAATTGTTACTTTTTTTCACATAAACTGATGATTATGTAATATATACAATATTTTTTATATTTATAAGATATGTTTTTAGATTTTAGAATAAATATAAAGTACTCTTATTGTTTAAAATTTATTTTTTCTATAAAAATTCTCATCAAATTAAAATTTATTCTTGTTTTTTTATAATTTTATTTATTAATAAATATGAATTATTTTTATCTATGTGTGGATTCGAATACGTTTTTTTAATACCTATTTTTATTTGCTTGATTCTTAGATAATCAAATTTTAAAAATTGAATATATTTATTTTATTTTCTTATTTTTTACATAATCAAATTTTATCGAAATCAATTTTATAGTTTTTATCGCACTCTTACTATTCATATGCATATAATTACTATTCACTTGATGTCAATTTAAGTAATTTTTGCGTGTTTTTGAACATTGATATTTAAATTTAACACTTTTTATTGTTCATCCTTCACGTTATAACATTTTTTTTAATCCTTAGTTTTTATTTTTCTTTCATTTTCACGTAGCATATATATATATATATATATAAACACAATCTCTTTATATTTTAAAATTAACATATACTTGAGCTTATATTACTCTTATCATTTAAATTTCATTCTTTAAATTTATTATTTTTTATAAAAATTCTCATCCAATTAATATTTTATATAAGATTTTTATTTACTGATAAATATAATTTATTTTTCTATAGATTTGAATTTTAGAATAAAATTTTAAAGCATGATTGTTTTTTCTTTTTTAAGAAGTAAATTGCTATAATATATATAATGAATTCTTATAATTTTTAAATGAAAGTTGTGCATATATAAATATGTAATTATTTTATTCTAAAAGGTTAAAAGCGTGTTTCAAATAATTTATCTTAGTTCACCATGTATGGTCAAAATATATTAAAAACTATTGAATCGTTAATTTTATTAAAAATTAGCTATACATCTTTCAACACAATACAAATTATTTATTATGAATATATTTTTTTAACATTATAGAACCAATTTGTTTGAAATAAAATAATTAAAATAATTTTTTAAATGAACAGACCAATTATTCAAATATAGCTTTTATGCTAATTTTGTTGATTAATTATTAAACAAATATACATAGATCTAATGCATACACTTGAAAAAAAAAAAAAATCTTCTCACCAACATTAAATAAGAATAAATTTTTATTTTTTCATTGGTTAATTTTTATGTAAGTCTATAAATTAATTGTAACTTTATTTTTTATTTTTTTATACATTCTTATAAACAAATGTAGTTTTAAAGTATTTGTTTTGAACTCTTAATTAATATTTCAAGTTTAAATTATTATAAGTTTTTATTTAAGAATCCGTAAACAAAGAAGAATAAATCATGTTTGTTAAGCAAAAAGTTTATGAAAAAACACATAAAAAATTATAATAATTAAATAAAAAATTAAATGATTTTGTTCTATCTACCCGTAGCGTTGAATGGATAATTTTAAAAATTAATCTTCTCATTATAATTAAATAAGAAATTTTTTTCATTTATTAATTTTTGTAAAAGTCTATTCATTAATTATAACTTTATTTTTTGGAATACAATACTATGAAAAATATATTTTTATATTTTTTTAAATTATTGATTAATATTTTAGTTAAAATTATTATATTTTTTTATTTTAAAATCAATCCATAAAGAAGAATGATTTATGTTTTTTTAAACAAAAAATTTACAAAAAAAAATTAAAATTAAAAAATTAATTAAATAGAAAATTATAATTAAAAAAATTTAAAAATTTAAAATGATTTTTTCTACCGCGTTCGCGGCATATCGTGAGTAAACGATTAGTTTTTATCTAAAATATCTTATATAGTTTAAATTCCTTTTTAAGATGTAGTAAGTGAATTTGAAATATATTAAAAAATATTTATAATACTATAAAATTAGAAATACCACTCAAAATATTAACTAAAACTCTATTCATTTTTTTAAAAATAGTCCTATAAAATTTTATTTTATACATAAATTTTGTTTATTATCATAGAGATAAAATTAAATTCATAAAAAATATTTTTTACTTCATCATTTTGCTTTTTTTTTTTTAAGTGAATGATCGGATATATTTTTATTTTTTTCATTTTTTCAATTTTATTTTTCAAAAATTTATTTAAATTCTAAGAAAAAATAAAATCAAAACAAAAAAATAGAGTAAAAAATAAGATTAAGACAAGAAAAATAAATAAATCACTACAGTTAGCAAAAAGAAACCACGAGATAAAATTAAAATATAAATCAAATCTAAAATATGCGCTTAAAAAAAAAAAAAAGTAAAAAAAAACGATAAATACAAAAGAAAAAGTAGATAGATTATGCAACCATTAACCCATTAAAGAAAGCAACTTCTCTAGAACATCGTTCACGCATCCTAACCTAGCAAACGTCCCTCCTTCTCTTTACCCAATTCAGACGGTCCCTTCACATTAGAAAAAACAAAAAGCAAAAACAAAACTGGAGATTAGCTCATTCTCTTCTTACCTATTCTCTCTGTATCAAGCCCAAAAGAAAAATCAATACAATCGATCTTAATAAAATTCAGAAATTGACCCCAACTGTCCAAATAAAGCATTCAGGTATATACATAATTTTCAGATTTCGTCGAATTTTTATTTTTTGGGTTTAAAGTGTTTTTATTATTGTTGGCAGATTTGATTTTCGGGTTTTAGATTATGTCTGAATTGCTTAATTTTGTGGATCTAAAACGAGTTGGAATTACTTTTGTTTTATATTTTCTGCAGTCGAATTGAATTGAATTCATGTCAGTTAGGTAGAGTTAGGGATTGATTGTAGCTGTGAGAGGATTGGGAAAATTCGTTTTTTTATTGATTATAGAATTTCTCAGTATGTGGGTTTTGCCATGATTGGGAGTTTGATTATGTTCTTGAAAATCTGTTAATGAGTGTAGTTTTATAATTTAAAAAGCTGGACTTTCTCAAGGTCTTTAAAGAGGCTGAAACAAATGTGAGAGTGTAAAAAATGGGATTTGGGTTCAGAAGCGACAGAGTGATTGGGCAGGTTTGGTCGAGTATCTGTGGATTATTAATTTATTATAGGCAGCTTTGCACGGTTAATAATTATAGGTCTTAATTGCTTCGCAGAAGATATAGTTTTTCTGAATTAAGGATTTGGGTGGATTGATAACGTAGTTGTTTATGTTCCTTTTTGCCTACTATCATTGCTGTATTAAGAAATGTCTGACTTACAGTCGTAAAGATCAGGCATAAAGATCTCCATGCATGTCTAAATTGCTTGAAAGCTTACTTGTCAGACAGTAACTTCCTGTAAACAACCTGAGGATATTTGGCTCTTTAGCAAATGGACAAAGGAGCACCGTCTAGTTTGTTTGTTAATGATGGTTCATTCATGGAGAAGTTTAAACAGCTTCAGCAAGGGAATGAGAAGGAACCAGAAAAGGATAAGGGTGCCGCAGAAAAGGATTCTAAACCCAAAACTATTATTTCAGGGTCCGTGATGCCTAAACCTTCTTTTGGTAAAGTAACTATGCAGCTCAAGGGTAATGATTCACGGAAGACCCCACAGACTGCTTCAGGTGGCAAACTTGCTTTCAGCTTGAAACAGAAGTCAAAGCTTGTGGCACCTGCAGTTAAACTGGGTGAAGATGAGGAGGATGAAGCTGAAGCAGATGTGGTAAATATTTCGGGTGATGTATCGGCAAAGAGGCAGAAGTTGGGTCCACTGGATACCTCTGACCAATCATCGAGACGATTGGATGTTGGTAATTACTACTAAAATAGATAGATATTCTCTGATCTGGTTGAGCTGCAATGAAATCTTCTTGTGAATTCTTTGGCTTTTGACTTCTTGATTGATAGATGTCCTTAAGATATGTATTATTCATGAATGTGGATTTACATTCCGACAAGATGTCTGCTGTTGTAGTGTCAGATATGACCGTAGCTATCACTCTTGCACACAGCTGTTAGAATGCGTATGTTTATACCTGATTTCTAGCTGGAGATTCATTTCTATTCTCTTTTTTTCTTTGGTTTTTATGTGTTTGGATTCTTAATTAAGGAATTGCATGCATGTCAAAAATCTGTTTCCTATGATCGTCTCACCTGCAAAAGAGATGACTAGTGTAATAGTTATTGTAAAATGATTTTCCTTTCTCACCCCTCCCCCTGATACAATTGGAGTGCTTTGTAGCTATCAATCTTCATTAATTCCTTGGGTCTTAATGTTGTTAAAGCTTTTATATGTATGCATCTCTTTAAACAAGGAGATTTTAGGTATGGAATAAAGTTTCTCCCCATTGTTAAGTAGAGTGCAATTGAAACCATCACCTGGGTATGTCTACTCTGATCTTGACTGGCAAATGAAGAGGACAAATTGTTCTTGAATGTTTCTTGTCTCATGAATGCAGTGTATTTCTTAAGTACCAACCAACGTTGGTGGAAAGAGATGTTCAATGAAAGATTTGGCATATGTGGCACGCCTGCTACAAGAGTAATTTGCATTCCCCTGTTCATGCTCTTGGTATTAATCAGTTTTATAAGTGATGTGCAGCACCACCTCCTCCAAGTGATTCCACAGTGAAGAATGTTGCAGACAAACTAGCAAGTTTTGTTGCTAAACATGGAAGGCAGTTTGAGAATGTTACAAGGCAAAAGAATCCTGGAGACACACCTTTCAAGTGAGTCATCAGCAATGTTCATTTCATTATGCATTGAGTTGACTTTTAATTCTGACAACATCCCTTTTGTTTGCTTCAATTTATTCCTTGGATACTTAAATGTTCTATTTATGAGTGGTGTTTTTGTTGTTTGCAGATTTTTATTTGATGAGAATTGCATAGACTTCAAGTATTATGAGTATAGGCTCGCTGAAGAAGAAAGGGCTCTTTCACAGAGCGGGGATTCTCTAATGTCTTCTAGTGGTTAGTATTTTGATCGCTATCCTTGTAGCGGTTATAGGAACAGAGTTCACACTTGAAGATTTTGACAATGTCTCTTCTTAGGACTGAATTTTTCTTCACTTAAGACTGGATAAAAAATGCTCGACATATTAAAAAAGTAATGTAATGTGAGAATAGGAGAAGGATCTTCATTTGTTTGTTGTTTGTCGTGTTGGAAGTCTCTGTTTGTTTTGCTTTGTTTAATTTTCCTTATTCAAATTTTGTCAATCTTTAGAATGAAATTCTCATGTCAAGAAAACTCTGTCTGCATAGTTGGTACAAGTACTTCGGCATCTAAATCCACTGGTAGTTCTCAAAGGTCACAGCAGCAGCATTCAAATTACCAAATTCCCGCTTCAGCTTTGTATGAAGCTGCTGAAGAGCCCAGGGGTTCGGTGTCAACATCTTCAGGAAGAGCTGGTAATAGCACATATTAGTATACAATGGATATATTTAAAACTTTTATTTCTATTCACAACCCACGGGGGAAAAAATCTGTTCTTTTAACAATGGAAGCTGCTTGAGCACAATGGAGATGTCCGCACTTGTTGAAAATCAACTGAATGGAGTTTGTAGATTGATCAAATTAGATCTTCCGGATGTTAGATCATCCGATTCTGTATCCATGCACAAACCTTTCAGACTTGGGTACATTAAAATCCATCAATCTCTCTTTACATCAGAACGTCTACCAAACAGACTTTATTTCAAAATTCTTTTATTGAATTGGTTTGCATAATGTTTAAAGCCCATACTGTTATTAGTCATTGTGTACCAAAGTTATGGGTGAGATTTTTTAAAGAATAAATGTATTGCTGTATATTACTATAGTTTTTCCATTGAGAAGCAGATCAAAATGATTGTCTAGAAATTGTTGTAGACTCACATGATTTTAGGAATTGCTTTGTTGTTTGTTCTTGTTTGGATTTATTATTGTGTAGAGAGGTGTAGGTGAGTTGGTAGATCACTTGTTTCTTCTGCACGAACAGATGAATTGTCGGAATTCTGAATTCCATATTACATTGGGACACCATCATTTATGTGACACCTTATGTAAAACTGCATCCCCACTTGTTGGGTGTTGCATTCACTTCTCTTCCATATTGCAGGTGAATCTAGTGCACCGGCAGGTACAGATCCTATAGCAATGATGGAGTTCTACATGAAGAAGGCTGCTCAGGAAGAGAGGAGGAGACAGCCTAAACAGTCTAAGGATGAGATGCCCCCTCCTGCTTCCCTTCAAGGTCGGTATATGCTTTGTGTGCGGAACAGTTTTTTTCTCCAAAGGATTTCTTCATACATTGGTCTTATCTTATTTTGAAATTTTGGTGGTACAGTAGCTTCTTCCAAAAAAGGTCATCATATGGGTGACTACATCCCACCAGAAGAGCTTGAGAAGTTCTTGGCTACTTGTAATGATGCAGCTTCAGTAAAAACCGCTAAAGAGGCTGCAGAAAGGGCAAAAATCCAGGCTGATAATGTTGGGCATAAACTCTTGTCCAAAATGGGTTGGAAAGAAGGTTCTCTGTCTCCCAACCACTCCCCACACCCCCCTCTCTCTCCATCTCTCTCCCTCACACACACACAGAGGCACACATGAAAATCTGATTTTTTCTGAAGTTATAAATCACAAATCAAATAATTGTGTCATGATGGGATATTCGAGTATGTGATTTGCTGTGGGTGGCAGGATTGAAATTGTATTCTCTGCTACAAAATAAATAAATTATTCTTAGTTCATTTGGCCTTGCTGGTTCTTTATTTACCAAAGCCTGATCTGTACCATGTGTTCTGCCAAAACCAGTTAGTTAAATATCATTCTATTAGTAAAAACAAACTTACTTACTGCTGTGATTTGCATGATGGGTCAGCTGGGAACTGGGAAGAAAGTGTGCTCATGAGTTCTTTATTTACTGTTGCCTAATTTGTACCATGTAAATTACCAATACCATTTCAGGCAATCCATCAATTGCATTTTGCATTATCTTTGCTTATCAGATGAGAGTTTTAATTAGTTGCTTGAAGAGCCATTGAGGGACCCCTTGTACAGGGAGTGCTGAGAACCTGAGATCTGATGCAAAAATTAGTCAAATGAATGAAATTAGAGCCATTACTTGATATTATTCTATTAATAATGTGTACTTGCTCTAATGTTTTATCTTTTGTATGATGGATCAGCAAGGAAATGGGAACAAACTTTGATAACGAATGCTACCATTTTTTAAAAGCGTGAAACATATAAATCAAATTATGAGATTTGAGCTGGAATCATTTGTGGTTTTGTCGAATTCCTCATTTGCAGCCTGACTTGGGATGGATTATACTTTAGCAGATTGTAATTGTTTCTGGAAACATAGTTGGACATCTCTATTTGTTGGAAACAATTTTTTGTTGCGTTGTATTGTGGAGTAGAACCCTGATAATAATGTGTTTCAGGTGAGGGTCTGGGGAGTTCCAGAAATGGTATTTCAAATCCGATCATGGCTGGTGATGTGAAGAAGGATCACTTGGGTGTTGGTGCTCACAATCCTGGGGAGGTGACTGCTGATGATGATATATATGAGCAGTACAAGAAGCGAATGATGCTTGGTTACCGTCACAGGCCAAACCCTCTGGTATCATCCCTTGTTTCTCTTGTTTTTTCCCCCTCTTGTATCTGATGTTGGTTATTAATTTAATAAACCGTTCATCCTATCCTACTTAGAATTGCAAGTTCAATTACAAGGCTAGCCTTGATCTGATGGTCTTCTGTTTCCCCTTTGACAGAACAACCCTCGAAAAGCATACTACTGAGCAACATTTCATGCAAGCTGTTTGTTTGTAGATTGTCCTCAAGAAATAAACTGGTGTCGGACTTGAAGAAGGATATTGAATTGTACTGTGACGGAAAGGAAGATGTCTAGAGTTTGCAGTATGCTATTTGTGAAACTAGTGTTTAATGACAAGTTATTCCTTTATTTCTCTTTCTGCATTCATTTTATGGTGCAGTATTGGCAAGCAAACCAATCTTCTGACACCCCAAGCTACTAGTTTTTTTAGTTTTAATCCTCTTAATTATTTTGCTTTATATGCACAAAGTAAATTGAATTACCGGAGAATCTAGACCGGTGTGGTATGAACGACAGAATGGTAGATTGATTGACGTCATTCCCCACTTCATCACGGAGTTTAATCAAGTACGGCCGTCTCCTTGATCGATCTCTCTTTGGGTGTTTTTTTGTTTGTGGTGGGGGGTTAACTTGAACCCTGGTTCTAGTCTTGGTCTCAAGGTTTGTGGGCCTCTTAACTAAGGCTGGCTTATTTTCGTCCACAAGGTGAAGTGTGTTTGGTGGTGTTGGCTAGCTCCAGTTGGAGCAAAGCAACAGCCACTGGGACGAACCTTGTACTGTAACTGTGGTGGTGCGACTACCAAACCCACCCAAGGCTCTAGGTGATTCGGCAATTAATTCGAAAAGAAGCTATGATGAGTTTTGATAATGCTTCTTGTTTTTCTCTTTTTGTCTGGTAGTATATGCTAGTTTTTTGTCTGGGTTATATGGTAGATCATTAATATGTGAAACTATTTGAAGAAGTTATTCTTATTTGATGGATCGTGCTATTATGTGGGTCTATAAAAATATGTAGTATTTTTAAATTTTTTTAATTAAAACTTTGTATTTAATATATATATATATATATATATATATATTTTATGTTTTTCATAAATTTTTACTCTAAGAAAAAACATGATTTTTTCTTTTTTATTCATAGATTCTTAACTAAAAACTTTTAATAATCTAAATAGAAAACTTAATTCAAAACAAATAAATAAATGCCTTGATATTTTTTTTTTCATGAGATTGTATAGAAAGAATTAGGTGAAAATTAATGTAAAAACTTGTATAAAAATAAACAAATGAAAATTACTAATAAGATATGAAGATTTACTTCACATTTGGAATTCCATAGAAAAAACTATTTATTTCAAAAAGTTTTATAAAGAAAGTGATTTTATATTTTTATTTAATATTGATGAGAAGATTATTTTTTAAAAACACGTATATATGATTTATATTTATTTATTTATAAAATTACAAATCATATTAACATAAAAAGTTATGTTTGAATTATTGGGTGATTCCTTTAAACCCTAATGTCAATTATTTTATTTGAAAAAAATTGATCTCAAAATATCAATAATAAATAAATACTAAATGATCGGTGCTATGTGTGTAGCTGCATAGTTCATTTTTAACAAAATCAATGATTCAATATTTTTTTATATATATATTATAATTATATTGAGTGTATTCGAGTCTACAACATAAAATAAAAAATATTAAATAAAAAAGACGTCGGTTGTAAGAAATAAAAATAGACCAAAATAAAAATTAATATAAATTTAATTTTGATAAATTTTGATTGTATAAAAAGGAAGCAAATAAAACATGTGAATTTCATTTTTTTTTCTTAAATTTTTTTTTAGGCCATACATTGCTAGTCCTTGTGCATAGGCCTCGAATGTAGAGAAATCATTTCTTTTTTTTTTTTTTTCACATTTGACTTTTAATTATTAATTAATGATTTTAAAAAATATTTTTTCTAAAAATACGAGACATATTATCCGAAATATACATTTAATATTTATTTTTAAATATATCATATATTTTTTTCGTCAAGCTACATGAAAAACTAAAAAAAACAATGATTGACATTCCATACATTTTTTTACAAAATTCAACAATAAAAATAAATAAATTACTAAGGAAAAAAAAGAACCAAACTAGGCTTGGAGAACCAAGCATGCACAGGCCAGCCTTTACAAAAAGGGTAGTGAATGGCTGACAACACATCTCCAACTGCAAATTTCAGCGAATTAAATTCATTGAAAAATTGAGATTTTCAATTTCTAGCCTTCAGAACTCAATTTTAGAGTTTTTTTTTTCAAAACACCTTAAAATTATAGAAATAAGGTGAAAAAACTTGTTTAAAATCTCAAAATTTATTTTAACGTATATAAAAGATAAAAAAATTCGAATCAAACTCAAAAATATTTTAGAGTTTCGATCTATCTTTTTCAACTATTTCACGACTTGTTATTACTATAAACAAACTCTTGTATCCAAAGCGAACAAAATGAAGATAAGATCAAAGGTCAAAGGAGTTAGAACGGATCTCATCGTGATTTTCTCTCTCTTTCCTTTTTTGATTTCGATTCTTTATTTTATTTATATTCATGGATCAAACTGTGATACAAATAAAGTTGAAAATGAAAACAAAACTGTTTGAAAAAATTAAAAACCAAAATATAACATTGGCAAAGCTTACATATCAAATGATGGAAGATAGTTTATAAATGATAATAATACCACAACATAGTAAAACAACAATGTATTATTAACTTAGTCTAAAATGCACTAAGTGTGAGTGTACTGTGAAAAAGAATAAGAAGAGGAACAGTAAAAGTCGTTTTCTTTTAGTGTTTTTTTTTTTTTTTTTTTTTAATATTTTCTAGGATGGCACTATTTGCACTCCTTTTATTGTTATTTTCATCCCAGGATTTAAGAGTGAAAATATTAACTTTTTGAATATTTTCTTTTAAATTGAAGGTCCAAGATAGTCTAAAAATCATTAAAGAAGTGGAGTATAACTTTTTAGTAAAAGTTTATTTCAAATAAAATAAAAATTATCATAGTATTAAATAAGCCTCCTAATTACTAATTAATACCTAGAACGGTGTCTTATGATAATACCAGCATAAAGATAATTTTAGTACGAATAGAAGAACATAAATTACAATATTTTACAACCATTTTGGAATCAACTTCATATATAAATAAAATTAAATTAAAACACGAGGATATGATTAATGGCGTTAAATTTCATATATGATTTTCAAAGTTCATATTTAATTTATTTCTTTCATGTTGTGTTTAAAGATTTTTATTTATATATAATATCCTAAAAATTCAATGTAAAAAAAATATTAGTTTAATCACTTCATAAAATCATGGAATGGAAATATCGTATTCGTCACCCCATTTTTATTGCTTGCGGAAGTATGAAATAAGTAAATGGGATTTTGTCAATATAAGAGAACTATATACTAAGTGTCACAATTTTTTTTTTCCAAAACTGAGTATTTCGACTTTAATTTTTATCAATTGATCGAGTTATTCATCTATTAATAACAAAAGAATCAAATGCCTCAATGAACATCTCTTAGGAATTTGTTGATGTTTATATTAAACAATGATATGGACACTAAAATCTAACAAGAAAAATTATCAATATTGTTAGCGTGAATATAAATTATGGATTCTGTTTTACAAAGTTTAAAAGAACTTCTTTAATACATATTGCGAGCATAGAATTGGGTTTGTAAATATGTGCTTCTTAGTTTTAATTGATAATGTAATATACTTAAGAGTGACATCGATCCTGATTTCCTCGTAAGTTCTTAATAATCGTATCATCATTTAATAGATATGTCAACAAATATCCCAATATACAACTATCAAGACACTTCATTGGGTGGATAACTATAATTGAAATTGATAAAATTAAAATCAATACTCTCAATTATGAAAATCGAAAAAAAAAACATTATTTGTTATATAATTCTCCCAATTTAACACCCATGCATTTTTCTCTCTTTTGAGTTTCAAATTACTGGCAACCAAGAGTGATCAGGGGCAGGGTGTGCGCGGAATCCAAACATGATATAGGCATGACAAGAATCTTAGTACAAATGCCATTATGTCGAATATTCTATCGCTTTAAGACCCTTAAACACTGTCAAATGGCTCCACTTACTTCTCAAAGATTAATACCAGAGCACCCAGGGCTCTTGCGAAACCCATCTTGCTCTTTTTGAGCCGTCAACTTTATTCTTTGTATCTAGCTACTACCTTAAAAAGATTAATTTTGGTGCGAATAACCAACAATTGAATGTAAGCCAAGATACCTTCATGTGTCTCTGTTTCCCTCCACAAAAGAAACAGCTGCAACCTTATTATTATTATTATTATTTAACTTGAAAAATTTGTTCCTTTATTTTTAATGCTTTTCCCTTTAAATTTAGCATATTCCTTCAAGTTATTTACCAGTAAAAATTATCACTTAAACCACAGAGAGCATTGTTTCCTTTTGGCATAAGTTACAACCACTCTTTTCCTTCTCATTTCCCAGTTATCAAATCTATAAAAGCAAAACGAACTTGTACAAAAATGGCCAAATTCATATTGGCAAATAATTAGTGATGAGAATATGAAAACTTGTATAGTAAAATGAGTGTGATTAGGCTTGTTAAGGCTAAATGCGAACAAGAAAGATAGCTAGAATGCCTTGTAATCCTCTACGTCGTGTACTTGTAAAACAAATCCTTCTAATTGATTGAGAGATCCCGTGACGATCAAGTTAGTCGTCTAAGAGTGATAAAATAACTTGATTAGCTTTTTACAGAATGTTATATGTGCATAAGTGAAAGAGAAAGATGAATAGCATGTGTTTTAAAGATGTAGAGAAGTGTGAAAGGTTAGGGACCCGGAACCCAAAAACTTTTGTGGTTAGAGTTTTGTCTAGGCGAGACTTTGCCAAGTTGCATGATAGAAAGGATAGAATCATCTCGTCTATTTGATGTTAATGGCTTTAGTCGACAATCTTAGGTGGTCCGTGTGCTTGAAAGAGCATTTTCATTACATATTTTGTCATTCCTACCATCGTAGATAATGACGAGCTAGACATTTCTTGTTTGAGTTGAGTACCCTAGGTTATAGGGGTTTCGGTGCTTTCCCTAAAGGATGGCTAGTTCTTAGGGGATGGCTTAACCCCGTGGCCCTTGTG